ATGTTGTCTGATAAAACCATACACCAGCCGGTTCGATCTGTGAGTCTTCCTTCAAGAATCCATCCACTCTCTGCTAAACTCAGAGCAGCTTTGAACCGGCTCAGTATCTGGCAGCGATCTTCGTCCTCAATCTGTGTTTCTACTTCTTTAGGGTTCGAGACGCTTCTAGTTGGACTCGTGAACGGTGAACCTCAGTGAGCTCTACAGTTGCATGCACGAGCTACTTGAGTCCCCTTGTTGTAGTGTTTTTCTTTGTTCTCAAATTGCTTTGCTTGCAAGAAAAGAAAAAAATGTATCACCTAGGTCTCGCGATTTTACACTAATGTAAAGTAAAAATATAAGTTCATTTCATCATATAAAATTATTTTGAATTTTGTGGATTATTTTGTTTGTTATATAATTTAATTATTCTGGTTCCATGTGAGTATATATACATATAGGGTTTTACCACATTTGGCCCCAACCTGATTTTTGATCTTTTAACGGTTAGACCGGTAATATTTTTTGTCAAAATATATTGATCTATAAAATATTATCAAATATTATTGACTTCAGTTTAGTTCAATTTATAAAATATATTGATCTATGTACTTTCACCATTTTTTTATTTTTTTACCAAAACATATAGTGGCTTCAAATACTTAAAACCCATGTGCATATATCCAAGAATAATAATAAGATTATGTTAAAACTGACAAGATTTAGTGTTCATCAATCATCACAACTTAATAGTTTGTAGAACAGCATTTTCTAAAACACACAAATTTACTTTAGAAACCTCTTTTCTAGCTAGATCATATCCGATTGATAATTGGTGTAATATTCTGATAGTTTTAGCAAAGATCATTGACAACTTTCTTCTAGCAACTTCTTATGCGACTGATAATTGGTGTAAGATTCTTATAATTATAGCAAGATCATTTGCAATTACGTGGACCTATATAAGTACTCTTGAGCTGGTGATAAAATCATGTTTTAGATATTTATATGAATAAGAATAAGCACAGTGGCATAATGTGATTGGAACATCTAATAATTGGTGCCTACACATAAATAAGCAAAACCAATTAAAACAAAAATATGTCTTTCTACACGTGTACCTGGACTATGACAAAAATACGATGGGCTAATCATATGAATACTTTGTGATATGATTCGAATAATTAAACAAAGCTTTTATACACGTGTATTAATGCACTAAATCAAATATGGAGGATCAGAGAGTAACCATTATTGGAAGATTAACTTTCGTTAGTAAATTTTACATTACGTCTCACTTATTAAAAGAAATCACTTAGTTGAACGAGTACTGATTTGCACTATTTGGTTTCACAATAAAAATATGTTTTTTTTGTCAATGACATGCGTCATTATTCGAATTCAGATCGCAAAGCGATATGATAGCCAAATTTGCAACTGAATCTTCCCCAAAAAGGGGGTCTTTGTCATTTAGACTTTTATTTTGAAGAGTATGCACGTCAAAAGGATCAATCAGATAAAAAGAAGTCAATGCAATCTTGCAAGCAAAATAAACTCAAAACCAGTGCACCTCATATACGTGTCCTATAATGTGAGAAGCCATGCAGATGAAGTTACTCATTAAAACGTTATTTATTTTCTTGTAAAAAGTATATTCGTAGTGAGTAACCTACATAAAATGATCGGATATATAGGGGCGTATACGTGTATAATATATGCTTGAGCAAGATCTGGATCTCGTTACCTACCAGACAATTTTAAAAAATTTAAATAATCGAAAAAGTCATTGATAATGTGGCGAAACAGGAGGCATCACAAAGGATGACTCATGAGGCTTTATCTCTGTGGCCAAATAATTTGACCAATATAATAGCCCGACAGCTCAGAGAGTCACAGATTTGCCAGTAATAATCGGACCAATCAAATTTAACAATTCAATTATTGTTGAAGTTTTGTTGGTCGATGCGTGGCAAATCTTGTTATATAAATATGCATGTGTAGTAGGTCAAGTTGAACAAAGCAGATCGATCAAAGAAGAAAGAAAAAAAAAACACAAAAGGATAGAAAAAAAAATGTCGAATATGATTATCAAGAACCAACTAAGATCTATAAGCTTACCTTCAAGATCGCATCCTAGCACGACAAGGATCGAGGAAGCTCTTACCAAGGTTAAAGCGATTAACACCACGACGGGTTCGTCAGAATCAATCTTGATGGCATTAGCTGGTTTGGAGGGTCTCTATAATTGTACGGAGGAGTTTCTAAAAATGGGTTCGACGCAACGTGTCATGTCGTCTGATGGAACCGAGTTTATGGAGGAGATGCTTGATGGGTCTTTGAGGCTAATGGATACATGCAGCGTCTCTAGAGATCTCATGGTGGAGACTCACGAACATGTTCTTGGTGTTCAGTCATGCGTTAGACGCAAGAAAGTAGCCGGAGGAGGAGGAGGAGGAAGTGATCAACTCGATGTAGCTCTCTCGGGCTATGTTGGATTTAGAAAGAACATGAGAAAAGAAGCTAAGAAGCTTCTTGGAACGTTAAAGAAAATCGATGGAGGATCGTGTCTAGCGTCGGGAGTAGATAATGGCCAACAAGATGAACATCTTGTGGCGGTTATTGATGCGATGAGACGAGTAGTTTCCGTTAGTGTCTCGGTGTTGAAGTCTTTCTTGGAGTTCTTGTCGGGACGACAAAGTAACATTAAGAGCAAACTGGCTTCGGTACTAAAGAAAAAGAAGGATCTTCATGAGGAGAGCAAGAACGAGTTGGAGAGTTTAGATTCAGCGATATGTTGCTCTCGTGATGACCTACAAAGTAAGCTTGAGGAAGTCGAGATGAGTATTGATGGATTCGAGAAGCATCTAGAAGGCTTATTTCGAAGGTTGATTAGAACACGAGCCTCGCTTCTCAACATAATCTCTCATTAGATTCTAAATTATTCATGTAATGTAACCTTCTAGGGCATTCAACTTTAGAGAATTTGCCTGAGGGATACGTTATAGACGCATAGATAAGATTTTGTACGCTAATTAAACAGATAGATATGTAGAGATAACTACAATTGTAAAAATATAAATTATATTGCAGTTATATGTACCAGCTTTTTGTGTGAAAATATTGGTTTAGAATTGACTATCTATTGATCGGTTTATCAGCCATTTTTTAATGAGAGAGTGCATATAATTGTCGCTGTTGAATCTTAGTTCACTGAACGAGAACGTGCATATAGTTGTCGCTGTTGAATTTTATCCGTGACGTGATACAATACTAGTATCAAGCACGAATGAGTGTCTACCGTGTTGAATTGTTGATAATAATAGCTAAATAAATACGTAAACTGTAGTGAGTATTGTTCCATTCGATATATGCGTATTTGGTTGGGCCAGTGGCAGTGGCGAAGGTACATGATGAACAAAGGGTGGGGCAGTTGCCCACCATGATTTAAATAATCTATATTATTATTTGTTAAATAATTTTTACATTCAAATTTTTACGTAAAAAGTTGGAGTGATCAATATCAATATATTTTTAATAAATAAAATATATATATATACTAACTGCAAAATAAGAAGAAATTTTAGTTTTGATAAGAATTATCCAAAATTTAAAAATATATTTTAAAATAATAAAATAAATCATAATATATATATATATATTATGTTGTTGTCTGAAAAAAAAAATCTTTTGATAAAGAAGTTAAAAATAAAAACAGAAACACATAATTAAATATTAATCAGTTATCATTTTTAAATTTCTATAACTGAAAAGAGAATATTAAAAGAATGTAAAGATTTATTTCTATACAAAAAAATCAAAATATTATAATAAATAAAAAATAATAAAATTGAAATATAAATAATAATTTATCCTTATAATCTTTTAAATAGTAGTGCATGTATTAATAAATAATTACAAAATGTACATGCCTTCATGCGTAACACCTAGTTTCAATGTATTTTGTTTAAAATTTTAATGAATGCCCCCATGTATATACAATACTTAGTTAACTCATTTTATGTTTGCTCTAATTTGCAATAGACATGAACCCTAACGGCATGGTCCAACTCCAAACCTACATTCACCATGACACTTTTAATTCTCTTTGAAACAATTTCTCTAGCTTCTGGTTTATGTGTTCACTGTCACATTGTTGAAGACTCCTCAATTTATTTCCGATCTCTTTTTAGTGGGATTGCACCTCCTAATAGAATTTCGCGTAATCTCACTTTCACGCCTCTCACATATTAAAACCGTTAAAATTGGTTGGTTTTAAAGTTTAAACCGATTTAATTACTAATTTGTTATCCACGTACTTCGAAACAGAGATTTTATGAAAATCCTTAAAGCGGAAAGGTCCAAAACTCAAACCAAAAAAGACTAAACCTAATCAATGGGATACTTAATGGACCACTCCTAAATTCATGGTAACATATAGCGACCTGTACCGGTGTTATTTAAGGGAGGCATCACCTTGCGTGGGACCAAATCATCCATGCATAGATATATCTTCATATACATAACATTTAAATAATGTAACAAAATCTTTCAAATATCTTTTAATTTAATTCAATCGAGGTTAAGGTACCCACACACAAAAGAAAAGTAATATAAAGAGCATTGTATTTGTAACCTTCAAAAGAAATAAAGAGGATAAAAATAATTAAACAATGAGGATACTATTAAAGAATCGTATATGGACGGTGGCTTCGCTGCATGAAAAGTAGTGTGAAATAAAGTTTTGGTTTTAGTAACCGAAACCGAAACATCGAACTTCGACAACGATTCAACTAAAAATTCAAACACATAGGCATTAAATGAGCTTTACGTGTTATGTTCTTGCTTCGTGAAGTACCCACACTCACTTCACATGGTCTTCACGTCTTACGCTAGTTATAGGCCCTACTCATTGACATTTATTATGTTATTATGTATGTTTATATAAACCCTAAAGCTAAAATACCAAAACAAAACATAATAAACTCGAGAAACCTCAATTTTTATCATCAAGGAGCCTTGAGATGTATATGTCTTCATTATCTCCAAGACTCCACAAAGCATACAAAGCTAGATGTGTTAGCTTACCTGTTCGGTCTCATCCGAGTGTTAGGAGGATTCAAGAAGTGGTCTCCAGGGTTAGAGCTCTAGGGTCGTCTTCGTTAGAGTCGAAGACCATGGTCCGTGATGGTCTCTCTGGTCTCACCGAACTTTATAGATGTTTAAGTGAAGATCTTTTCAAGTCTTCTTGTGAAACTCAACAAGCTCTTTTAAATAGTGGCATGATGGATGAGCTTCTTGAAGTGTCTCTGAAGTACTTAGAGGTTTGTGGAGGTGCTAAAGACGGTGCGTCTAGGATCAAAAAGAGTGTTGTTGAGCTTCAGTCTGCTTTGAGAAGGAGCAAGAAGGGAGGTGAGTTTAGCTTCGAGAATGAGATGGATGCTTACGTTGCGTCACGGAAAGTGACCAAGAAAGAGATCAAGAAGTATATGGTAATGTCTAAAGAGACAGACGCTTGTTTGGAGAGTTGTGTTTGGCGTGGTGGTGAGGATGATCAAGAGATGAGTTCTTTGGTTAAAGTGATGCAAGAAACAAGCGTGATCACGTGTTTTGTCTTGCGCACGGTTTTGTCGTTCTTGTCGTCGCCAAAAGGGTTAAAGAATAAGAGTCATCATCAGCACAAAGGTTGGAGCATTGTTATGAAGCTTGTGAAGAAAGGAAAAGATCATCACAATCATGAGAAAGGCTTTTCTTGTCTCGAGCTTGAAGCTATGGAAGCTGAAATAGAGAAGCTGGTTGTGACCACGACAAAGGAGGATCAAGAAGAGGAGAAAGAGATTAGTGAGGAAGTTAGTGAAAGGATTCAGTGCTCATTGGTTAGATCCAAAGAAGTTGAGGCAGCCATGGAGGAGGTTGAAGAGGGACTCGAAGGATTGTTCAAGGTGATGATACAAGCTAGGGTCTCTCTTCTCAACATCCTATCCACTTAAATCAAGATGGGATCAGATAAGATTTTATTGCTCTGAATCAAGATGGATCATTTGGTTTTAAAGTCTTGATTTGTCTTTGTTTTTCATTTGTGTGTAGAGAGTTTAAACATGCATCCATGTATTAGAGGATGTGTGTTTGTTGTAAGTTTGAAACTCGTCCAGGTTTGAACAACTCTTGTAAAGTTTTATGTACTTAAAAATATCAAAAACTTTAACGTCTAGAAAGAATGGATGTAAAAATTAGTAGTATATTTTAATGTTTAGAATAGGCTGATAATTAGTATATTTTTTATTCCCTAAAAGCAATTTAACTATGGCCGAATCGTTAAAATAATCAGTAATAAGAGTTTATTTTTTCGTAGATGAGCAAGAGCAACCATGGTAAAACCCAATATTCTTTATTCATTAGTTGATCATAGTTTATAATCTTGGTGGCTCAGGGCATACACAATGACAACTGAATTCAAAACATAAGGGTTTGCAAGGTTCATTACAAAATCCAGTCTTTTGTGGGTTAGCCAGCTTGGAAACTTGAAGATCCAATAACGGCAGAGATTTTTCTTCATGTAACATACGTTTCGCTACGACAATCTGAGCTGTTCCGAGTATCATCGCTACACCACATGATGTGTGACATATATAAGTAACGCCATCTAATTTTTATGATCATAAAATTAAATCTGTATCGAGTTTTAGAGGTAAAACTTTTGAGTTTCCCGTAAATATAAAATAAATATGAAACTTTGAACTTACCAGTAAAAGCTAAAAGGACAATGAAAGCAGACCTGAATGAAAATTTCCCCATGACACTATAAAATTGTGTATTTTCTTTCATGTTAATCTTGTAAATTTACAAAGACAGCAATGTGAACAGATCTATTTTCTAGACAATACTTTATATAAAAAGGAAATATTATAATAAATGAATTCACATTATAATGCATATGTGACAGTTTTATTGGGAATGCATATGTGACAGTTTTATTGGGAATGAGTAAGCTGGTACGTCACATGTAAAAAGTTTTTCGGTCAAATTTTACATGAATGTGTTCGCACTATATTTTATATTTTTCAATATAAAATTCATGTGCACAGTTCAAATAAAACTCATACTACTCAGATTTTTCGGTTCAAATCAAAAAGGAAATATTATAAATTGTTTACAGTTAAAACTAGGTAAAATATTCGTAAATTTTGATTCGATTTAATATCCGTTTTGATTCGAATCCAAAAATCTGAATATATGTAACTCTATGAAGCAAATCAAATATTAAAATGCAATATCCTTTAAAAACGAAACAAATCACAAATACTAATATTTTAGAAATGTATATCTGATTTGGTCCGTTCAATGCCTATATATACATATATTTAAGGAATTATATATATATATATATAAGTTATCTATAATATATAAGTTTTAGAATATTTAATGTATTAAATATATTATATTAAGTACTAGAATTTAAAAAGTTAAATAATGTTTTATTTACGTAATAAAATATTCTTATTTATATTATTTTTAGATAGTTTTCATTGGATATCCGGTATGGATAGAGTTGACACAAATATCTCCAAATATCCGAATATTTAATCCGCGCTAACCCCTATTTACAGATATAATTTTAGTTTTCTTAACAAAAATATGTATTATTTTGAACAAAAATATCATTCAATATTAGTTAACAGTACTTTTATATATTTATCAACCACTTATATACTTTTACTTACACATACATGTGCATATTGACGTAAGCACCTATATAACTAAATATTTAACACAACTGAAGTATCTAATTCTTTTGGAAGTTGAAATACTATTTTCTTAATGCTTCTTTCATTATCTGCCAAATTGTAGTGATATGATTTATCTTAATAATTTTTTCCTTTTCTTTAACTATTATCAATTTGAAAAGCATAGTATGCAACCATTGGCTCGACAACAAGACTATCTAAAATGCATATAACATGAAATCAAATAAATAATAATAGTTTTTGGTTATCATTGAAAATCAAAAATCTCAAAAAAAATTATTCGAACGAAACAAAATAAATATTAATTTAGAATGATAGTCATATTTTAGGAGAATAAATAACAAAAAAAAACAACCTAAAACCCAAAAGGATATCTAGACTAAACATATTTAATGCTTCTTTATTAAAAAAAAATTAACAAAACTAATAATAATATTCTGCGCTAAGCGCAAATTATTACCTAGTGTATAATGTTTTTATAGAACAGAAAAGTGTGAGAAAATTAAAAAATTTATATAGGGTAAGAAATAAAATTATCCTGGACATTAAAGATCAAATCTCCTTAAGAATAATTGACTATATAATAAACAGTCAAATGTATTACACAGTATTCCTAAAATAGTATACAGAGATTTATATGGAAGGAATTCAAAATGTTAGCAGCCAAGGTCGTTGTGAACAAAGGAACATCATTAGTGAGAAAGTAAGTGAATGGATTCAATGTTCATTCGTTAGATCCAAAGAAGTAGAGGCTGCTGTGGAAGAGGTTGAAGAGGGACTCGGAAGATTGTTCAAGGTGATGATACAAGCTAGCGTCTCTCCTATGAACATACTATCCATTTACATCAATATGGGACCAGACACGAGTTTATATTGCTCTGAACCAAGATGGATCGTTTGGTTTTAAAGTTTTATCTGTTTTTTTTTTTGTAAGTTTAAACACGCATCCATGTATTAGAGGAGGTGTGTTTGTTGTAACTTTGAAACTCGTCCAGGTTTGAACTACTATAAAATATCTATAATTAGAATGCCTAGAAGATAGATGTAAAGAGAGAGACGAACGCATATCTTTTATTCATATCTTTTATTCATATTAGTTGATCATAGTTTATTGTTTTGGTGGCTGAGGGCATACACAACCACAAGTGGTAGCATAACATAAGCTCCAGCAACCATCCTGACAAAATTTAACAACCAGCTTGGAATCTTGATGATCCATTAACGGCAGAGACTTTTCTTCTGGTAACATACGTTTCGCCTCACCAACCTGAACTGTTACGGATATCACCACTACACCACATGATGTAACAAATATAAGTAACGCAATCTAATTTTTATGATGATTAAATAAAAAGTGTATAGAGTTTTAGAAGTAAAGATTTTGAGTTTCTCGTATATATAAAATAAATATGAAACTTTGAACTTACCAGTAAAAGCTAAAAGCACGATGAAAGCAGATTTTAGAGAAAATTTTCCCATCACTGTATAAAATTGTGTGTTTTCTTTCCTGGTAATCTTGTAAAATTACAAAGACAACAATGTGAATAGATATGTTTTCTGGAGAATACTTTATATATTGAAAAAAAATTATTATAATAAACATATTCACACTATAACTGATACATGACAGTTTCACGACGGTTTAAAAATGAAAAACTGGCATGTCACATGTAAAGAGTGTTTTAGTCAAATTTTACATAAATGTGTTCACACTATGTATTTTACATTTTTAAAAATATAAAACTCACATGCAAGGTTCCAAATAAAATTCACATTATCTGTATTTTTTTGTTCCAAATAAAACTCACATGCAAGGTTCCTAAAAGTCTTTGGATATCCGAAACATCGAATATTCGGATAGACTTATGGATACAATTTGATTTTTAAAAATATGTGTTATTTTGAACCGAATTGGAATCGACACAAATATTCCAAATACCCAGATATTTGAGATGTGCCTATCCCTACTTATAGATACAATTTGATGTTTTTTAACATAAAAATGTGTGTTATTTATTTAATTAAACATTATAAAAATGTGTTATTTTAAACAAAAATGTGTGTTATTGAATTACATACACATACATATGCACATTGACGTGAACATCTATATAATTAAATATTTACCACAATTGAAATATCTAATTCTTTTGGAAGTTGAAATATTATTTTTCTTAATTTTCTTTCACTATTGACCAAATTGTAGTGAAATCATTTGTTTTAATAATTTTTTTCTTTTCTTTATCTATTATTTATTTATAAACTATAATATGGAATTATTTGTTCGACATCAGAATTATCAAAAGTTAATATAACATGAAACCAAATAAATAATAATAACTTATGGTTTTGACAGAAAAAACCAAAAAACATCACAACGTTTAATCAAACAAAACAAAATAAATATTGATTTATAATAATAGTTATATTTTAGGAGATTTCAAACTAAAAAACAACCTAAAGCCGAACTGATATCTCAATTAAATAGATTTAATCTCTTTATTAAAAATAATAAAATTAATAATCATATTTCGGGCAAGACTAATGATTATTAGTAGTATATTTTTATTATTTAGAGTAGGCTAATGATAATTAGTAGTATCTTTTTATACTAATAGCAATTTAACTAGGGCGGAATCGTTGAAATAATCAAAAGTAATAAAAGTTTATTTTTCGTAGACGAGCAACCATGGTAAAACAAATATTCTTTATTCATTAGTTGATCATAGTTTATAGTGTTGGTGGCTCGGGGTTTGCAAGGTTCCTTACAAAATCCAACCATTTGTGGGTTAACCAGCTTGGAAACTTGATGATCCAATAACGACTAAGATTTTTCTTCATGTAACATACGTTTCGCCTCAACAATCTGAACTGTTACGGATATCATCACTACACCACATGATTTAACAAACATAAGTAACGCAGTCTAATTAAAAATAAAAACTGTATAGAGTTTTAGAGGTAAAGCTTTTGAGTTTCCCGTATTATATAAAATAAATATGAAACTTTGAAACATACCAGTAAAAGCTAAAAGAACGATCAAAGCAGACTTGAATGAAAATTTCCCCATCAATGTATAAAATTGTGTGTGTTTCTTTCCTGGTAATCTTGTAAAATTACAAAGACAACAATGTGAATAGATATGTTTTTTGGAAAATCCTTTATATATTAAAAGAAAAATATTATAATAAATATATTCACACTATAATTGATATAGGGAAAATCCCATGAAAAACCTTTAAAGTGACAAGTACTTCCACTTTAAACCTCCAAACAATATGTTTCCATAATAAACCTTGAAACTAATAACATTCTTAATAAAAACTATAAAAGTGTCTTACGTGTTTTGTATTATATTGGGATGGACAGAATTATTAACTCTGTTAACGTCGTAACTAACTCCGTATAAAACGTGTGCTTTATTGCAATTACTTATATTTTCAACAGAATCATCGTATATGTTCTGAAAGAAAAAAAAATACTTTAACGAGAAAACCATAGGACACGAAGAAAAGATGCTTTCTTTAAGGTCTCCATTGTATCTGATCATCCTCTTCGCCTACGGAGTTGCAATTTCATCATCGTTTCTTGCCATAGCACATGGTGACATAAACTGAACAACGGAGACAAACAGACGAGAAGCATTGGGCGTAGATTCCTTCTAGGTTTCAAAGAAACTCTGAATTCCCTCCTTCAGGTCCTTGATGACGGTGACGAAGATGTTGTTGATGCATCTGTGAAACAGAGGAATCTGCGTGATGACTCTCACCGAAAGCTTAAGCAGTGTCAGTCTTACAAAACTTTTAGAAGCTGTGTTCCTTTTGCTAATAGGAGAGAGTATCAGTTCTTGGTTTTGAGGCTTATGCTAGGACTGTTACTTGTAAGCGGATCAGATGTAAGAAAAAATCTACCCAGAGATAAAATAGAGTAAGAATAGTTTTAGTATTTTAATCTTGTGATTCAAAATTTAAGAGGCCTTCATATGTTAAAAAGAAAAAAAAGTTTAAAATCAACTACTCCATTGTATTTCAGACGATAGCAATCAAAATAAAGTAAGAATAACCAAAAAAAATAGAAACCCAACATCAGAGCTATTCGAAGTTTTTATTCTGGAGGTTGTGAATCAGTGATAGACCTATCATAAAATCTGTTTCCAAAGACTTCAAAAGGCCGATCTATGTAGGGGCTCCAAAATGTTCCACTTCCACTTGGAATGTTACCGAGCTTTCTTATCTTCAATGGCCGTCCTCGTGAAGCCTTCTTCACATGTTTGGCTGGTTGGTTGGAGGGGACAGATTGCTGTGGAGCACTAGAAGCAGCAGGAAATGCAGAACTTGATTGAGCTGTTTGTAACGGCTGAGAGCTAGATCCAACTGCTGGGCTGTTTTTATTTTTTCTTGGTTTTGGTTGACGCTTTGGGTGAATCTGAATCATGAAAATCTAGTCAAAAATCTTTCACACACCAACTAGTTCCGATTGAATTTTTTTTTTAAATACCTCTGCAGGATGTTTACGAGGTCTACCGCGTCTATTTTTTGGGCCTTCTACAACGACTGGTTCATTTTTACATCCGCTTTTAATGTGCCCAGCTTGACCACAACGGCTGCAATGTGAGATTCTACCGTGTCTTGTAGATTTACCTGGATTTTGTAGTGATTCAAAAGGTTCCTTTCTTCTGTCACGTTTTTTAGGTCTACCTCTTGGCTTACGTATGTCGGGTATTCCAATTGGAGGCTTATCTACCTTATTCCACAGCTTCTCACCATTTACAGGGCTGATGTTATCAGCATATGTGTTTTGGAGGCATAAAGATGAATAATAATCAGAAACATATTTCTCAGCATCGTCTTGGTTGTCATCTAACACACATATTGCATGTTTGCATGGTATTCCTACATTTAAAATGAAAAACAGCAATACAGAACATAGATTAAGTATGAGAGAATCATTAGAAAAAGTTAACAGCGAGGTATGAAAGCTAAACATCAAAAAGAATTTGTGTTGGTTCCGCATACCTGTAAGGTCCCAACGGCGACAAGCACATTGATGTGTTGCTAGGTCAACAGTATAGCCAACATCAAAATCATTTACCTCATATAAAGTTGTTCTGCTGCGTATTGTTGAGCAAAACTTTTTAGCAACCCTTGCTTTCTCTAATATAGCCATTGTAATTGGAGTGAGATAGGTGTTACACTTCTCTGCTTGCAACCATCTACGCGATATTCTTTTCATTGCTTGTCTTCGTATGTCCTCCAGCATACTAATTATAGGCTTCGTTCTTGCAATTTTGATTGTCCTATTGAAAGCTTCAGATAGATTGTTATGCACATCAGCACAATGCGACTCTGGATTGAAAAAAGCTCTACACCATTTCTCTGGCTCTGTTTTAAGCAAGGCCTCATAAGCAAATGGATCATATGTCTCTACCGCTTTCATTTTATCCTTATATTCCCCTTCATGATAGCTATATGCTACACTCCAAAACAGATTTTTATATTCTGACCGGGAAAAAGATTTTTTCCAGTTACCGTATATATGTCTTGCACACATACGATGTTCAGCTTTTGGAAGCTCAGCAGCTATGGCATGGATAATACCCTGAAAACAAAAATGTTATCATGAAACTCAAAGTTCAGATTATATAATTAGCATTGATATTACCATGAAAATTAGTTATATAATAAATTACCTTTTGCTTATCAGAAATGATAGTAAGATTATTGCCTATTCCTAAGTTGAGATCTATTTTGAGTTTTTCCACAAACCAGCCCCAAGTATCCTTGTTTTCACGTTTAACAACAGCCCACGCAATGGGATACATCTTGTTATCTGCATCTCTACCGACAGCTGCAAGCAAATCACCTTCCAAATCCCACTTTAAAAAGCATCCATCAAGGCCAATTACTGGTCTACAACATTTCTTCCAAGTCATCCGAAATTCTTTAAAACAAATGTAGAAACAAACAAACTGTTGTACACCATTGACATCAGCAGTGCAAATCTCTGTAGTGATACCTTCGTTTGATCGTTTAAGCTCAGCCTCATAATCCCATAGCTTACCAAATTGAATGGATTGAGCTTCAAAGACTGTATCCAAAGCAATTTTTTCTGGCTTTGTAACACTTTTAAATATTCACAACAATGTTATAACGTTCCTTTATCATGTCTTTTATCTCTGCAGCTTGTAAATTAACATTTCTTCTAATTTCTTCTCTAAACAGAGCAGCAATCACACCTTGCTTCAGCATGGATACTCGACTTGATTTTCCATGGTTATGTTTGTTGTGACAAACTTTCACCATCCACTTGTTCAATGGCCGCTCAACCGAACAATATATTCTCCAAGGACAGTCACTCTTGCAACATATAGCAGCTATCCTTGTTGCTTCTGATTTTGCCATTTTGACATCATATTGAGTATTCAATGAGTAACGTAGTAGCTGATCCTTGAACTCTAATCCACTATTAAATTTCTGAAACAACCATATGTAAGGCTCTTTGTCAAAATCTCCGTGAAATTTCTCTTTTCCTTTTTCTCTTTTTGGATTTTTCCACTGCTCCCACTCTTCATCTGAACTTAACGGCGTATCTGGATATTGGACGTCTTCTAAGCCAAATTCAGGATCAGACTCTTCTTCGTCCCTTTCTTCTTTTGCATGTTCTGCAGCTAAACTACGAGTTACTTCATTCAACTTGGGATTTATTCTTGTACCCTCCTCAAACAGAGACTGAAATCTGTTATCACCACCACCATTTCCTGCATCTAAAATAACCCCATCTCCATCGTTCACCACATTATGAACACCCTTGTTCTGAAAATCATCACCATGAGCCTCAATTTCTCTTAAATCAGAAGCATGTATTTCTTTTAAATCAGCACCACGATCTTGCTTCCTATTCAAATCCTCACTGCAAGCCTGAATTTCTTTTAAATTATCACCGCCACGATATTGCTTCTCATTAAAACCATCACCACGAGTCTGCAGTTCATTTAAATCATCACATCTATTCTTAGTTGTATGAGCTTCATCCTCAGATTCCATAGGGTCATCATCTTCTTTTGGTGGCTTATCATCATCAGATTCATCACCATCGTCTGCTGATCTCTCGTCTATATCAGTTTCGTCACCTTCTTCTCCTTCAGCTACATATCCACTCTCATCTTCATTTTCTAAAAAAACATCAAGCGCACCTACTATTCTCGCATCAGAACACAACTCTGAGATATCACCATTAATATCCTCAAACACATAATTAATATTCTTCATCTCCTCACTTGTTTCTTTGTACCAAATCAATCTTAACACTGTCACAATGCCTTCAGCTTTATTGAAATCTTTAAATTTCTTCCAATTGATTTCAGACATTTTCCATAAAACCGTTGTAAAGCCTGACTCATTAAGATAAATATAATCATCAGCTTCTTTCTTCATTGTTCCACCAAAGTGGATATTTAGCTGCAACGTCTCTTCGTCACTGCATTGTAAGCAAATAAAGTTTATCAGTATACACCATTCATAAGAAAAAAGTCATATCATACTCAGATGAGACGTAAACTGGAATAAGAAGATTAAAATATTTTTTGAAGAAGACACCAGACACGATGAGACGTAAACGAGAATAAGAAGATTGAAATATTAGAATTATCTTACTCCATGTCGGCTATAACATACTACGAACTCTTCTTCACCTTTTAGTTTTCTCTTTAGGTTTTTTATTAAGTTTTTTCACGAACACTGATGACGGTTCAACCCTAAACTGATACAAGGATCTTAAAATATAATTTGTTAAAAATATAAGTAATTACAGTACGGCACATATTTTACCAAAAGGAGACGGAGTTAGTTACGATGTTAAGAAAATTTATAACTCTGTCAATTTTAATATTATATAAAACACGTGAGCCAATGTCAAGGTTTTTGTTAACAATGTCTTTAATTTCAAGGTTTATTATGGAAATATAATATTTGGAGGTTTAAAGTGGAAGTATTTGCCACTTTCAATGTTTTTCATGGGATTTTCCCAATTGATATATGACAGCTTCACAACGGTTTAAAAATGAAAAAGCTGGCATGTCACATGTAAAGAGTTTGTCAATCAAATTTTACATAAATGTGTTTACACTATGTATTTTACGTTTTTTTAATATAAAACTCACATGCAAGATTTCAATAAAATTCACAGTATCTGGATATTTTAGTTCGAATCAAAACGGATAACAAATCGAAAGCCCAATTATATATATATATTATTTTTTTTTTTTTTTCAGATAGAGCTGAGAAAAATATACATAAATTTTGATTTTTAAAAATATGTGTTATTTTGAACCGAATCGGAATCGACACAAATATTCCAAGTACCCGGATATTCGATATGTGCCTACCCCTGTTTACAGATACAGTTTGATTTTTTAACAAAAAATGTGTGTTGCTTTGAACAAAAATATAATTTACTATTAATTAACAGTATCTTTAAATATTTATCAATCATCTTTATAGAATTTTTCCTATAAATACATGTGCACATTTAAGTGAGCGGCTATATAACTAAATATTCACTATAACTGAAGTATCTAATTCTCTTTGAAGATAAAAATTTAGTTTCTTAATAATTTTTTCATTATAGACCAAATTTTAGTGAAATGATTTATCTGAAGCATTTGTGTGCCAGTCCCATATACTAAAAAGTATATATAAACCGATCAAAGTAAAGTATTCGTAATTTTTGATAATTCGTTATCTGTTTTAATTCGAACCAAAAAATCTGGATATCGGTAATTCTACAAAGTATATCAAATACTAAAATGTAATATCCGTAAAAACGAAGCAATTCACAAATACTAATATTTTTAAGAAAGAGTGTCTGAGTTGATATATTATGTGCATATATATACATATATTTAAAGAATTATATATTTAAGTTATATATATTATAGTTTATATAAGTTTTACAATATTGTAATGTATTCAATTTATTATATTAGATATTAGAATTTAAAAAGTTTAATATTTTTTTATTTTTGTAATAAAATATTATTATATTCTATTTTTTAGATTTTTTATTTATTTTTAAATTTTTTACTTTATTTACCAATCAAATTGAATATTCGTTAAAATTCTAAAATGTTTTGAATATGCAGGTAACTACGGATCGAATCGACATGAATACCTCCAAATACTTAGATATTCGATCCGTGACACCCCTATTTACGGACACAATTTGATTTTTTTATATGAGAAAAAATTACTAAGGTCTAGGCCTATTTTATTTTTAATAAATTTTATTTTAAGAACTTAAACATTCATGTGTTATTTTGAACAAAAATATGATTTGATATTAACTAATAGTATATTTATATATTTATCAACCATCTTTATATACTTTTACATACACATCACATACACATACATATTGAACATCAGTATTATTAAATATTCACCACAATTGAAGTATCTAATTCTTTTGGAAGTTGAAATATTATTTTTCTTAATACTTCTTTCATTATTGACCAAATTGTAGTGAAATAATTTGTTTTAATAATTTTTTTCTTTTCTTAAACTATTATTTATTTATAAACTATAATATGAAATTATTTGTTCGACATCAGAATTATCAAAAGTTAATATAACATGAAACCAAATAAATAATAATAACTTATGGTTTTGACAGGAAAAACCAAAAAACATCAAAATGTTTAATCAAACAAAAAAAAATATTGATTTATAATAATAGTTATATTTTAGGAGATTTCAAACTAAAAAACAACCTAAAACCGAACTGATATCTCGATTAAATATATTTAATATCTCTTTATTAAAAAGGAATAAAATTAATAATCATATTTGGGCAAGACTAATGATAATTAGTAGTATATTTTTATTATTTAGAGTAGGCTAATGATAATTAGTAGTATCTTTTTATACTAAAAGCAATTTAACTAGGGCAGAATCGTTGAAATAATCAAAAGTAATAAAAGTTTATTTTTCGTAGATGAGCAACCATGGTAAAAAAAATATTCTTTATTCATTAGTTGATCATAGTTTACAGTGTTGGTGGCTCAGGGCATACACAATGACAACTGAATTCAAAACATAAGGGTTTGCAAGGTTCCTTACAAAATCCAACCATTTGTGGGTTAACCAGCTTGGAAACTTGAAGATCCAATAACGGCAGAGATTTTTCTTCATGTAACATACGTTTCGCCTCAACAATCTGATGTGTTACGGATATCATCACTACACCACATGATGTAACAAACATAAGTAACGTAATCGATTTTCTTATTATCACAAAATTAAAAGCTGTATAGAGTTTTAGAGGTAAAGCCTTTGAGTTTCCCGTATTATATAAAATAAATATGAAACTTTGAACTTACCAGTAAAAGCTAAAAGGACGATGAAAGCAGACTTAGGTGAAAATTTCCCCATCACTATATATAATTGTGTGTTTTCTTACTGTTAATCTTGTAAAATTACAAAGACGACAATGTGAATAGATATATTTTCTGGACAATGTATAACATTTTTATAGAGCAGAGATCAAACTTTTTATATAGAGTAAGAAATAAAATTATCCTGGACATTAAAGATCAAATCTCTTTAAGAGATCGTTGACTATATAATAAACAGTCACATCTATTACACAATGTTCCTACAATAGTATGCAGAGATTTGTTCCTAAAATAGTACACAGAGATTTGTATGGAAGAACTTCAAAATAGTATACAGCTAAGGTTTGTATGTTAAAAAAAATAAAATAAAAAAGTTTGTATGTTTTACTCATGCATAAAAGATCAGTTAAGCCCATTATAACAAAACCCATTATATAATCAGAGAAACTAAATGGTCATGACTTTGATTAAGGCTCAAACACTATTTAGTTGGATCCACTAAAAAGTGAAAACTGAGCCTATTCAGAGCCATATTTTTAAAACACTATCCATACGAGGCAAGCTAGTTGGACTTATCATATGATCCAATCCCACGCGTGGCTTACATTTTTGGAAACGAACTAAAATTTACACTCTTTATAAAAACGCTAAGTGAGAATAAAAAGTCTTAATACAAGTAAATAAAGTGACAACATTCGCAAAATTAAAGATGTGATGGCGATAAAAAACCATGTGGACAAATCCTGTGACCATATAACCATATCCGTATCACAATCTCGATTCGGTAACTAAAATCAAGAAGTATAAAGAATAGTAGTATACGAAATATATTACCCGACACAAAATATATGAAATAATAATTCTTTTTCTCAAGAAAAAGAAAACAAGAAGTGAGGAATATTACACAGCTGTGAAAAGAAGTTTGCTGACGTGACAAGCACCAATCAACTATTCAATGATTGGTCACCAGTACATGCCGACGTTGTTTTTGCGTTTGTGACGCCGCCGCTCCTTTTCTCTTTAAACAAATCGAATTAAGTTTCATAGTCCTAAAATTAATTAAAATAATAAATAAGTAGTTTTAAAATAGTTAGTTTTAGAGATATATTGACTCAGTTAACAAACGTCTCTCAAATTTAACCTCGAAAAAAACTTACAAATCTAATAACATGTGTGGATTATATAATATGCTAACATCTTTTCTTTGGTCTAAATATGCTGACATCTTACGTGAGCTTACGTTATAATCAACACGCAAAATCATTTGTCGAGGAACTTAATTATCTAAAGATCGAATTAGTAAACGAATCAGAAGATTAGCGCAAAATCACGTCCAAGAAAAGGTCGTATCTCATTACACAGTAGGATATCATAACAAACAGAGGATGACATGTGTAAGCAAGACAGAAGCCGTTGTCTTGTCGGGGACGCTTAAACTACCTGAGACGCGTTTTTTTGGAGGTTGATCGAATACGAAAAACTGATATCTGGTAAGTAAATAACAACAACGTTTTGTCATTTTTTTTATTTGCTTTAAAAAAAAAACAACGTTTGTTATTTATTACAAGAGACAACTATTAAGTCTTTTATAGATTTCCTTGTCTGATTTTATCATTCATACTCCTTCAGTTTCGTTATAAGTGTTATTTTAGAGTTGGATACATAAATTAAAAAATAATTAATTTTATATATTTTCTATATAAAAACACAATTATCTACACACATAACTACATTTTAACCAATAGAAAAATAAATTATATAATAAAATTAATAAATTTTGTATTGAAAACCGAAAACAACACTTATTTTATAACAAAAAAATTATCTACAACGACACTTAATATGAAACAAAAGGAGTAATATATAACACCAAGTATGCTTTAAACAAAAAAAATAAAATTAAAAAAAAACAAGTATGCAAGAGAGTTACTCTCGTAATATAATACGTTGAGTATCTTTTATGGTATATACACACACAAAGACAAATATTCTACCATTAATTAAACGATTTTAAATAACAGTGATCGGGTTGAGTACACAAGCAATAGAAATAAATTGATCTTTCTTGGAGGATACGTGAAATAAAATAAAAGAGAGGTTAATAACATTTAACGTCATCGCATCATCATTGCTCCACCACTTCTCTATTTATAGTCTTAAATCATTTATTTGTTCCTCTCCATTCTTTTCACATTTGGTCATTTTCATTTTCCTACGTTTTCTTCCATTTTTCTCTCTTTTACAGAGAAAGATCGTCTCTCCAAAGAACCAAAAACATAAAAGTGTGAAGAAGCTATAAGTACAGAGAAAAGAACAAGAATGGGGCAATGTTCATCAACGACAAAGATGAAGAGAAAAAGAAAAAGGGAAGAAGAAGGTTGCAGAGAATCAATAGAAAGGAGTAGAGGATGTTTATCAATGGTGAAGGAGAAGCGTTCTAGGTTTTATATAGCCAGAAGATGTATTCTTATGTTGCTTTGTTGGCACAAATACGCTAACTCTTGATGAATGAGGTTTGTGTTATTATTATTACAAAGTAAAAAAAAAAAAGAAGATAAACACGTATATGTACATAGATTCCATTTTAATAACGCTTTTTGTGTCTCTGCTGCATAGTTTTTTTATTTTTTTTCAGTTTGATAGTTCCAAGTTCCGGTTTATTCAGTCTATTCAGGTTGGGTATTTTCAGTTTCTGTTAGTTCGGTTTAGCCCCAATACCACCAAAGTAAACCAAGATTTTTGATTCAGTTCAGTTGGATTTTTGTTTGATTTTTTTTCTTAAAAAACAGATATTTTTCAAATGCAAGTCAGTGATTTCATTTTTATAGTTCGGTTATTCGTTTGGTAATTTTGGTTGATTTCAATACTATTGAATAAATTAATACTCGATAAATTAATATACATTAAATATCTCTATAAAATAATATAATTTTATATTCTTAAATTGAATTTTTTGTTCGATTAGTATATCGATAAATTAATTTCTCTAAATTAATAAAAAATAAAATTTTGGTGTAGTCCCAACATTTTAATCTATAGAGATTTCACTGTAGTTCAATTTGTTTCTTTTCAAAACTGACTTACCAAAAACCAAACCAAACCAGAAACTGAAGTAATTTCAAAAGCTTTCCACATTAAACCGAATTCAAAACTAGACACAAAACGAAAACTAAAATTTTGGTTCGGTTTAAATCCGCAGGACTAGTTTGAAGCTTTACTTTTGTGTCTACCGTTTTGTTTCAAACAATTATGTAAAAAGTAATCTCAAGATTAGGAGCACAATAGTAGATTCAGAACATCCTTATTATCATTTTGCCTCCATAGTCCAAACTCAATCTGCTTTTTAGTTTGACAACAAATCACAAAAGAATAAATAAACAACAAAGTTACAATGTACAACTTCACACAACAATTGGGAACATTAACAACATTTAAGTGGTTAGAGTATCAGGGAGAGCCATGGAATGAGCTCCAATAATCTTACCACCAACATCTGGGAAACTGTCATAATCCGGAAGTGAGCTAACCTTACCATCAACGTCTACTTGTAGTGGATACTTAATCAAGTGACCTTGCAGCTCTGAGAATTCAGAATCTATAAACTTCTTCCAGTTCCCTTCAGCTATTTCATTCACGTTCTTGACACATTCTAGATCACCAGGCTCCACAAACTCATCTCCTGTTTTGCCTAAATGCTCTGCCCATAGTGACATCCTGTAACCATACACCTATGGACAGAAACCTCTTAATGAATGTGTTACTCTTAGCATTTAAGAATGATGGGAAGACAAACCTGGCCACGTGGGTGTTTCCCCTTGTTAGTCCATGTATGATGGGGTTGATATGCACCCATGGCTATTTCTGTATCTTTTGTGCCAGCCATAGATCTTTGGTTGATGTTAGCAGATCCCATTAGTACATACTCATCATCTATTATCATCCCCTTTGCGTGGACATAGATCATAAAACGCTGGAACTTATAAGAATCAGACACCTGAAAAAATGCAGTAAAAAAATCATAAGGAAACTACACATATGCATGAAGCAGGTTCTTAGTCTTTTAATATATTATTACCGCAGTGCCGTTGGTTGGTTCCATATCCTCTGGAAACTTCTCTCGTTTACCAAGGCAATAAAAGTTAAGGTAATCAAGAGGGTGAGCATCTGACTGCACAGCTTTCAATTCTTTTGCTATAACATCATACATCATCTGCATAGTTTGGCTCTGCCAATACAGAATCTCTTGCACAGGTCCAGACTTTGGATCACCTTCAGGCCACAATGGTATGACAACATATACAGCAAATCTTTCTTTAGCTCTGATTTTACTAACAATCTTTAGTGCCAACTCCATAGGTATAAGATTATCAGCTCCTGCTCATTCAATAAAGATAAAAGAAAGTGAGCATTATATAGTTCCTTAGTAATAAGAACTATCCTCAAAGAACAAGATTGTACCTGCATCTTTATAATTAGGCCAAGCATAAGAAGAACCAAGAAAATACTGATTCTCAATGTATATAAAATGCTGAGCAGATCTGATTGTCTGTATGTATGCTGTCTGGATACTCTTATCCACTACAAGACGCTTGGCACATTCCAGATGCTGCATTCAAAATAAACCAATTTGAGACAATTAACTAATAGTAGCAAATAAGCTGAGCTACTCACTTGTGCCTCAGCTTCATCTTCATATTTGGGAAACCCTTTCAAGGATCCTGAGTCTATAGAACGGAACACCTGAACATGCCAGTTCTCAGGATCATCTTCTTTGGAGACATACACAACAGGATCATCCTCAGGAACCAGGTTAGTACCATCCTTCAGATACTTAAACACTGGACTTACTATCCATGATATACGTCCTATTCTGATCAGAGCATCGTCTTGCCAATGAGTTTTCCCTTTTAGCCTTAAACTAAACTCCTTCCATCGTGTTGCTTTTCTCCACCTTTGCTCAAAGTTCATGAGAACATCATAAGCTGCAGGACCGTCTAGCCTACAGTGCAGATCGTGCCAAGGTTGTCTTGGAGCCTTAGTGCCAGCCTAAGGAAGTAGTGGAAAAAATACAAATCAGGATTAAGTAAGTAAGGAAGTAAGATTCTAGCTTGAAAACTAAACTTTATACTTACTGGAAATGTAGGATTGTGGAAATCATCTTTAAAGACAGTGTCAAGATCATGTAATATCCGGTGCTCAGGTGTGTCGTAACGGCCGTCACAAAGATCAATACCTCCAATAAAAGCTGTGACTTTGCGGTTGTTACCAGCTGCTTGTGTGTCTACAAGTACACACTTCTGATGGTGAGTGAAGAGAGTGCCAACAACCTGGTTATTACACAATTAATCAAACCTGAGACAGAGTAAAGATAATAGATATGCAGTGTTCTAAAATCAGTCTAGGCGTCCACCTAAGCGGTCTAAACGAAACGATTTCATAAACAATTGGTCTAGGCATTCGAAAAATCGGTCTAAGTGTCCGCCTAATCAATAATCCTCTATAAAACGCCTAATTACCACCTAACGATTTCTTGAATATAACTATTGCCACAACATTTTGATACACATATGTGAAGAGAGCCGTTAACTAAGCCAATGACAAACAATAAGCAACATGGATTAGAGTCAAGCCACCAAGACATCTCTTATAATCCTAACACAAACATACCATGATGCGGTCCTAAAAAGTCTCAACATTAAAACTACTATGAACATAAACTCTGAAGAGTTAGGGACTTACCTGTTGTTTAAACAAACCAAGTTTACTACTAGCATAGCGAGGTGACAATACACATATCACAGAAGAATGCTTGAAAAACTTCCTAGTCTCTTCATCATGTGTCCCCATAACTCCAGGCTACATAACAAACAAAAAAACATCAATAAACATAGCAACTAGTAAACTCTAAAGAAGCAAAAAAAACACTAACCGTTCTGATCCCAAACTTATCATGAGAAGTCTTATCATCCCAAACAAGCAACAAAACTCTCACACCTTCTTCAGATTTATACTTCAAAAGCTCACCAAGAGTCAAATCCCCACCTCTAGGCAACTTCCTAGTAGGTTCCCTAACAAGCTTCACCTTATGAAAAACAGACCAACCAACAACATAAATCATATGATGAGCCTCAGAGACAGCATAACAAATATCCTCCCAACACTTCCCATTCTGATAAACCTTCCCACCATCCAACCCAATCTCCGGCAAAACCCCATCCGTCACGTGAGCGTCCTGATAAAGCCTCACGTGACTCCCTTTCCTCAAAGGGAAATAAGTCTTCTCCACGCCTCTACGCTCCACACCGCTCTTATAAGCGTTGATCTCATCGAAAGGTGTGAACTTCATGTTGATGAAGAGAGCGGTTTCCTTTTTGGGAGGCTTACCTGAAGCGCCGAGGACCGGGAACCAACCGGTTATACGTGAACCGGAGGCGATGTCTTTAACCGGGATCTTGGCTGTACCGATGATCTGCGCGCCGAAAACGTCGTCGTCTTTGACTTGGAACTCAAGGTAGGGGAGAGGGTGAGCTAGGGAGATGTTGAAGTGTTCGTTCCAGATGGGGTCTTGTGAGTTTTTGAGGACACGTGTGCGTGCGAGAGTGGCTTGTGGGACTACGACTGTGACGTAAGGGTCGCTGGTGATGACTTTACGGTGTGTGCGGATGGTTTTGTCGCCGGAGGAAGGTGGGGCGCCGTCTCTGGCTCGGCGTTGTTGTTCGTGTTGGTCGTCGTCTGTGGCGGTGGTGGAGGGGGTGGAGCAGGAGTTGCAGGCGGTGAAGAGGAGGCGGAGGTGTTCGGAGAAAGTGTCCATGTTTGGGAGTTTTCTTGCTTCGACGATTTTGAGATCGAGGTCGCCGTGGAGGAGCATCACTTCGTCGTCGGAGGAGGAGGGTTTCTCCGCCATGGTTTTGGGAGATGAGGCGGAGAGAATGAGGTAGGGGGGGCTGTGAGAAAAAGTGAAAACCCTAACGGAACAGAGCGTCGGTTGTTGTTGTTGTTGTCTGATTTTGAAAAGTTATGTCTTTTTGATTTATTTTTAGAAAAGGAAAAAAAAAGAGAGATATTTATTAGTGTTAGGTGAATGATTTGAGAGAGGAAGGAAGAAGAAGAAGGGACACGTGGGAGGTAGAAGAGGTGATGTGTTAGTTGTTATGTCAGTGATTGTAGATCTGAGAGACATTTTTGATTGGTAACGCTTAACACTACATACTTTTAACTTAACCCAATTAATGACGATTTTGGATTTAGACTCTTGTGCTAAGATTTTTCTACACTTATTTAATTAAATGATGGTGACTTGAGGTGAGGAGGATGATGATGGTGTAAAGTGGGGTCTTACTTTGTGTTTGGACAAAATAATGAAAAAGGTGAGTCAAACACACAGCAATGCGAATCTCGGATGCAAATTATCCACCATATCTATTAAACTTTTTTTTTTTTTTTTCTGAAACACCCACCATATCTATTAAACTATTCTAGAAAGTCTATAGATAGAGTATCAATTTTTAGCCAGAATACATTACTCTAGTAGTAGTCAATGAAACAGGAAATAAATGGAATAAAACAAGTGTAGAATCGGATGACGTTTATGTATTCAATACTGAAGTTTTGGATATTCCGGGATTTTTAATGCACATTGGAAACGAAGAAAAAATCTCAAGTTGTTTAAAACTTCAAAAGTGGTCACATGCCAATCATATACTTGATGGAAGCAAAGTATTCTCGATTCAAATCTACTCAATGAAGCAACAGTAATATACATAATCCTTTCATGGAGTATTAGTAATAAGCTTTTGCACATGTTTTACTAAATCGAACAAAGAACTTAACTACCAGACGAAATGTATAAAGTTTATGATGATCGTGAGGATGGATGGCTTTAGGGGTAAGTTTAGAACAAATTTACATATCACGAAAAAAAAGGATTTACTCATTAAACATTTTTAATGCAATCCACTGTGGAGGTAACTTTGAAATGGTCTCGGTTAGAGACTTGTGAGCTAGTAGGAGTTTCAAGACTAATCGTTTCCTAAAACTTAGAATGTCTCTCTTTCAACGGTTGATTTTATCACTCCTGTCATTCTCATCTCATGTGGTGGTGTATACTACTGACCGGTGGATGGCGGTGGATAAACCAAGAAGTGTTGGTGTGAGTAACCTGTGCTTGGACTGTATTCAGGGCTTGCTCCTGGGCTGTATGGGCTGTGACAAATTAAAGATAAAAGGTCGGTACTAGTTTAATGGGCCGTAAATGCGTTAGGCCCAATAAGATCTGGACTCTTCGACTTTGCATGGACCCGTGAAAGAGAGAAAAGGGAATTGCTCTTCTACTTTCTTCAAATTCCGTCTCACTTGTTTGATGTTGTATGGAGACTATGGATATAACCAGATATGCATTTTAGGATTCATGGAGGAGTTAATGATGATGATGTGGCATATGCAAATGATTAAAGGAGCAGATATGCAAGAAGACAGCAAATGGTGTTGAATTATCGATCACGTTATTACAAAGACGCACCGGTAAAACGTGACGTGAGTCACCATGTAGTCATGTAGATAACCTACCTATCACGTTTATCTCTTCTTTATTTAGTTGGCTTATTGTCTTATAGGTAAAATTTATCTGTTACTTTCACTTTTCAACCCGAAAAGAAAAACAATTCGGCCAAGTCTCATGACATAACATTCTTATATATACGAAGTATAAATGATAAGATCAAAGATATATTAGAAGCTGTTTAAACAAAAAAAACAAAAAAATATATACTTCTCCTGTTTTAATAAAATACATGTTTTAGTATTTTCACACATATTAGAAAAATTATAAAATTTAAATTACTTATATATTATTTTTTGTAATGTATTATTTTCCATAATTTTTAATCAATAGAATTTTAATAAATATTTTAAAGTTATAATTTAATATTAAATGATGCATTGAAAATGTGAAATATATATTTTTAAAAACAAATTATTTTCACTAAAACATAGATTATATTGAAACGGTGGGAGTATACATTAGTAAAACAAATCGATCAAGCCATATGGCATAACCCATCCTCAGTATTCCAATAATAATTCTAGACATGTACATGATCACACACGCAAGGCAGCCATGTATCATGCGTATGCTTAGATATGAATTATAACCACTCATGGGGACCAGCTTCTAGAGACCATTGTGTCATGAATGAAACTGCTGGAGAAGATATTTGTAAGACATGTTGAAAAATAAAAGAAACTGGAAATTTTTATTTAGTAGCAAGCGGCAACCCTTATCTGATAAACTTGGATAAGAAATAAATACAATCTAATAAATATGCCCATCTCCTGACAGATAATTGAATAACTAAGGTGTGTATTCAATGTTTTACGATCTTGTTAGTCTCGTCACTCTCGTGTATGGAAGATTTATAATACTCCATGGGAGGGCATATGATCGTGTTTACTAATAAATATGTTGATGATTTAGACCAAAAAAAAAAAATATTTTGATGATTCTCAATATCGTACAATTAAAAGCAAAACATCAAAAAGTAATTAATTGTGGTGATGTGCATGGAAAAATGTACAAATCTCTAAATGAATAAATTGATTTCAGTTTCAATCTCCTTGAAAAATGCTAATACGTATACAGAATCTGCGGTCAGACCTAAGCTAGCGTCTCGCACGTACAGAAACAAGTCTTGCCGGACACATGAAAGGGAACTTACTATAAAAGGAAAAGCAGAATCAAATAAGATTTATAAAATTTTCTTAAATAGTTCACACTTCATAGTTCATATACAGTACGTAGCAAAATGACTATTGTTTCGTCATTGCTTGTATTATCGGAAATGAGCCTACCCATGATTTGGCATTATTCAGACAATGTAAATATCTCCGGAATAACCTTTATTAATCTTCTACATAGTATTATATAAATAGTATGTCACATTCTTATAAGCACATTGTAATAGAAGAATGAATATAAAAACTCTCAGCAAGAACAGTAGAACTAATATCTGCTCGGAAATGAGCCTACCCATGATTTGGCATTATTCAGACAATGTAAATATCTCCGGAATAATCTCCATTAATCTTCTAAATAGTATTATATAATAGTATGTCACATTCTTATTAAGCATATTGTAATAGAATAATAAATATAAAACTCTCAGAAAGAATTGTAGAATTAATAACCCACTTTGACCTATAAAGATCAACGAGCGGTTGCTGTCCTCATCGATGTAGCGGTGCTTCTTGTTCTTGGCTGTGTTCTGTTTCATAATCTGGTCGTGGTTTGGTACCGAATTAGGTCTGAGCTTAGGTGTTGAGTATAAATCAGTGGGCGGTTAATTATTAATGAATGGTGGTGGTGTCAACATCGATCATGTCAGGCAAACCCCTAGATTTTTTAACTTCACCTACTTGAGTTAAAATATCTCAAGCCAGACGACGACCTAAACCCCAAAGCTTTTAAATGCAAGTAGGTCACACACACATCTGATCTTCTCTCTTAAGAGCTAAGCAAATACCCCATCTCTGTCTTCTTTCTAAACTCTCTCTCTCTATTGAATAAGTTCCACTACTCTGTTTTTTTCTTTGTCTCTATATCAGATAAGCCCCATTACTCTGTTTTTTTTCTTCCTTTCTCTATTAAATCAGCTCCATTGCTCTGTTTTTTTCTTTGTCTCTATATCGAATAAGCCCCATTACTCTGTTTTTTTTTCTTGCTTTCTCTATTAAATAAGCTCCACTGCTCTGTGTTTTTCTCTCGATAGAAACAAGCTCAACCGCTCTGTTTTCTCTCTCTCTCTCTCTCTGTTGAACAAGCTCCAATGCTCTGTTTTTTTCTTCCTCTCTTTGTTGAATAAGCTCCACTACTCTGTTTTTTTCTTCCTCCCTCTATAGAATAAGCTCCACTGCTCTGTTTTTTTTCTTTCTATCTCTACTGAATAAGCTCCACTGCTCTGTTTTTCTCTTCCTCCCTCCATAGAATAAGCTCCACTGCTCTGTTTTTTTGTCTTTCTATCTCTACTGAATAAGCTCCACTGCTCTGTTATTTTTTTCTTTCTCACTCTGTTGAATAAGCTCCACTGCTCTGTTTTTTTGCATTCTATCTCTACTGAATAAGCTCAATTGCTCTGTTTTTTTCTTTTCTCTCTATTGAATAAACTCTACTGCTCTGTTCTTTCTCTGTTATATTCAAAAGGATCTTTAAGGTTCTTAAAGAAAATGACATCTTATAGATCACAACCTATGGTTTGCCCTCTCTCGCCGTGTCCCTCTCTCGGTAACCTTGTGGAAAGGATCAAAGACGCATGTCGTTTCCTCATCACCGCTGTTCTTGGCACAATCCTCTCGGCGATCTTGACCTTCTTCTTCGCTCTAGGTCCGCCTCTCGTTTCCTAGTTTCTCTGTTCAAACGTTTTGGGTTTACTTAAAAGCTAAGAAAGTTGTTTCCTTTTGATCTTATTTTCAGTGGGCACATTGCTTGGAGCACTCACAGGAGCCTTAATAGGCCAAGAAACAGAGAGTGGTTTCATCCGAGGAGCAGCCGTTGGAGCCATCTCAGGAGCTGTCTTCTCCATCGAAGTCTTTGAATCTTCTCTCCTCCTCTGGAAATCTAACGAGTCACGTTTCGGTTGCCTCCTCTACTTGGTAAAGCTAACTTCTTGAAAATACTCTGTTTTTTTTTCTAGTATTTTTCAAAATTGATTCTTTATGATTTTTTTTGGTTGTAGATTGATGTCATTGTTAGTCTTATAAGTGGTAGACTTGTAAGAGAACGCATAGGTCCAGCAATGCTAAGTGCAGTTCAAAGTCAGGTACATTTTGATTTTCATTTCCTTAATGAGATTATATATATAGATCTCTCTGTTTTTTTTCTTGATCCTCTGTTCTCACTTGATCAGATGGGAGCTGTGGATGCAACTTTTGATGATCTTTCAAGCATCTTTGACACTGGTGGCTCAAAGGGATTAACAAGAGATGTGGTTGATAAAATACCCAAAATCAAGATCACTAGGAGAAACAACTTAGATGATTCTGGCAACAAAGACTCATGTTCTGTTTGTCTTCAAGATTTTCAAGTAGGTGAAACTGTAAGAAACTTGCCACATTGTCATCACATGTTTCACATGCCTTGTATAGACAATTGGCTACTTAGGCATGGTTCTTGTCCAATGTGTAGACATGATTTGTAACCTCTCCTTTCTTACTGTTTATGCAGAGTGTCTTTTTTTGTACGGTCGTATTAGTCTTTTTATATGTACAAAGAAGTTTTTGAAACTTTAGACCAAATCTATTTAATAGATTTGTGTTGGCCTCACCAAACTTTGAAGTGGTTGAGTTTTTGTCAATATTCTTTAGTTGTGACGTGAAGGAAAGAAATTGAATGCAACGTGTGAGATATTTATCTTGCCAAAAATCATATTTTCTTGATTTGGTTTGTTAATTTAGCTCTGACATTTAACCAATTACTCACCAAACACGTAACTATAAGCAACACACTGATTTAGACAAATGTTAAAAGAATTGCTACGTATTGAGACGCCTTATGGAATATCTTATATATTAAAACAGAAGTCATGACTTGACTTCATATGTGTTTTTTTTAAAAAATGGACTATTATTAGAAAATTATGTTACATTAACTCTTAATCTTATCATTATTATATCTTATGAAAAATCATATCTATAAGACTATAATAATAAAGATATGCTTAACAATTTGATTTTGGTAAATTACCCCATACTTTCCAACTTAGTCACGCAAAATATGTCAATAGATATAAGTTTAGGAATCTTCTATTAAGAAAATATGTCAATAATAATTAAATGCATCCACAATATATTAACAAAAATCACATATTCGTAATAAGGAATATTTATATACACTAACAAAATTTACACGCTATATATACTAGATAAATTTATTTCCATGTAAAATTTTTAAAATTATATTGTTTTAAAAAAAAAATTTAAAAATTATTTTTTATAAAATTCTTTATAATATTAATTTATGAAGGTATAAGTTTAGTTTTTAGCAAAAATTTCTTCGAAATTTATATTATCTTTGCAAATTAAAGTATACTAATATTTAATCAAGCTCTATTTATATTACTTTGTCTAAAAATGAAATAATAATCTAACAAACAATAAAATATAGAAGAAGAAACAAACACATGTTTGAAAAATATGTATAATATAGAAAATTTGAAACAATCTATTTGATTAAAACACGTATTATATAATATTATATGTTTGAAAAACATTTACTATACATATCGTAAATATGTGATTACTATAAGATATACCAATTTACAAGTGAAAAAAATGTTTATATAATTAACTATAAACGAAAATAAACACCCGCACGGTTGCGCGGGTCAAAATCTAGTTAGTGTTTAAATGTATGTTTAGACCGACTTTTTGAACAGTGCTTAAATGGATGTTTAGACTGATTTTATTTTGAACCGTGTTTAGATGGATGTTTAGACCGATTTCATCTCTTTGTCATCTTTTTAATATCATTTAGTTAATTATTTAAAAGTAGAGGGATCGGATTTTAAAAATTCATAGTTTTGTTCTTTTGACAAATATATGTGCTTTAGATTCTATTTACTAAAGTTAAGGGGTGTTTCTATAAGTTTGTATATCTTCTTGTGTATCATTTTTTTTTTTTTTTGAATATTGGCTTTCTTGTTTATCATTTTGAGAGCATTCCTTTTGTCAAGTTTCCTCTTACGAGCCCCGCCGCGTGCTGACCAATAATCTGTGAAATCGCAGGCTATGACATCAAAGAGACGAAGACAACTCTTGGCAGAGCAAACAAAAACATTATCAAACACTTGTGTGCTTATATATAGTACTTGAAATGGGCTTAATGATGGTTAAAGAGATGATTTTTGAATTGGCCCAGATGGCCCATCTCTCTAACACACGAGCCCATCAGTGTCTTGGTTAGTTATAACTTTTTATTAATTTTATACAACAAATCTCTATCCCAAATGTAAAACAGAATTAGCAAGTTTGAACAATCCCCATGACTTTGACTATTACATTTCAAAATCTACATGAGAAAAAAAACATAGTTAAATAATGTATATAAATTTTAAAAAAAACATTGATTTCAACCTGTTTGAACCAATTTAATGACAGACAACATTATTAATTAAATTACTCGGTAATTTAACATGTTAAACACGTCAACAATCCTCCAATAATCTCCCGCAGCCAATAAGCTCCATAGAAAAACCCTCTCTATTAAACTCCACACCCAATAGAATCCACGGAAGAAAACAAATGTAGTGTTTTTATTTTACTTTTGTGTTACTCTCAAGGGCAATCTCGTAACTTCCCCATCTCACACGGCGAAGAAAAATCAAAGGGACAGACAGACATATAAAAAAAAGAATGAGGAAAATGAGAAGGAAGGAGACTAGACACAGCTCCATCGTCTTTTCTCCTTTGTGAGAAAATTGTCTTTTTTTTTGGAACAAACAAACACAATCATTTCTGTTTCATTTCTCAAACCCTAACCCTAATCTCCGATTCTTCTCCTCGCCGCTAATTTTAGATAATAATAACTGTAGATCAAACCCTAATTTTTGTGATCATGGCCTCCGCCACTTCTAATAACCCTAACTCTTCTTCTCCTCACACTTCCGAGACTCAATCCCCACGCCGTCCTTCACGTCAGGTCTCCTCTCCCTGGACTCAAATCGTCCGCGGCGGCGATTCGGACCCCACGATCGCCGCCGCAACCGCCGCCGCAGCTCAATCTAAGCCTCCGATCGAGCCGATTGCTTCTCCTCTTGCTGGAAACGAGAAATCTTCTCATTTGAGGGTTGAGGAGAAATCGGAGGAATCTGGTGCTCAAAGCAATGCTGGAAAGAAGCCAGTTTGGAAAAGGCCTTCTAATGGTGGTGGTGGTGGAGCTGCTTCTTCTGAGGTTGGACCTGTGATGGGAGCTTCTTCGTGGCCTGCTCTCTCTGAGGCTGCTAACAACAAGTCTTCCTCTGATGTGATAGTAGCGCCACCTGTCATCGTTTCTCAGGTTTGATTTTGATTTGTTATGACTTTTTATTGGTTAAATGATCTCTCTTTTGCGAAAAGACTGTAACTTTGTATCGTATTAGATTGATGATACGTGTGTGGTCACTAGCAAGTAGCGACCTTGTAGCTTTTGATTGTTTCTAACTGTGGATTGAAATGAGTCTTCTAGCTGCTTGCAAAAAGTCTTTTCGTGCTGGGTTTTTACTGCAATGTATCAACATTTAAGCTTCGGCATCTGCATGTTGTGCGTCATAACGTCTTCGTGTTTAATCGTTTAATAAGCTCTGAGCTGTGTAGCATCAACGGATATGAACGACTTGAGAAGTTTACTCTGTTAAATGATCTCTCTGTTGTGAGAAGACTGTAACTTTGTATCGTATTAGATTGGTAAAACGTCTTTCATGTGTGTGGTCACTAGCAAGTAGCAACCTTTATTGAAATGAGTCTTTTAGCTGCTTGCAAAAAGTCTTTGCTGTTGGTTTTGTTATACTGCAATGTATCAACATGTCTGCATGTTATGAGTGTTAAAGTATTGGGAAGTTTACTCAATTAAAAGTCTTTTTTGTTTCATTTGTGACGTTGAGAACGAAATGATTGTCTTGATGTACGCCTTCTCTTATGTATGTGTTAACCTTCTTTGATAGTGAGAATGGTTATGTGTATTTGATTCAGGGAATTGTTAATGCTTCTGTTCCTTCTGCACCTAAGCAAGTCAGCCGTGGAAACCCTAATCAAACACCAAACAATTCTCGCCAGAGATCATTTAAACGGAATAACTCTTCTGGATCCTCTGCTAATGGTACTGCTCCTCAGCAATCAGCACAAGGTTCGCTTGCTGAATCTCCCTCTCACAACCCTTCTCCTAGAGGGCAGAACCAGAGGAACGGCTTTCCATCACAAACCCACGGTGCTAGTGGTGGTGGTGGAGGTGAGAATGTATCTCAAAGAGACTCGTACAGGAACCAAAATGGTAACCATCACCAAACTCACGGCGGTGGTAGGCGTAATCATGAGCACGGGAATCAGAATTGGGGTTTCAGCAGGAGCTTTAATGGGAGAGATGGGAATGTACAATCACAAAGAGGAGGTGCTCCAGCTTTTGTAAGACATCCACCTCCTCCCCCACCTGTGCAGACAATCCCCCCTCAGTTTATCGCAGCTCAGCCTTTTGCCACTCCTCTGCCTTTCCCTCCTGGTGAGATGCACATTGAAAGACCTTTGAGTTTTCATTTATTATTCTAATTGCGTCTTCTTTATTTCAGAATTGGCATCGCAATATTATCAGCGTATGCCTTTCGTTGCTCCTCCTCTCTCACCTGGACCAGTCTACTTCCATGTCCAAGACCCTCCTTTGAACATAAAACTTCAGAAGCAGATACATTATTATTTTAGGTAGTACTGAACTCTCTTATTCTTCTTCCTACCGCTCATTTCTCTGCTGGGAAGGAGTAATTTAGATGCACATGTTTCTTTTTGTTACAGTGAAGAGAATTTGATTAAAGATACATATCTTCGTGGGAAGATGGATGGTCAGGGTTTTGTTCCAATACCTGTGATTGCTGCTTTCAATAAGGTAAGCATGTGGTTCTCATTCGCTTTTCTGATTATGATTCATGAAAGTTCATTATGATTAGTGTGAACTTGTATTCAGTTTAGTAAGATCTTAGATACCCTTTTAGACTGTTTATATAAAGCTGTGTCATGCATGTACATACTTACCAGTTGATGAATTTGTTCCTACATTAAATTATTCAATTATGAATGCTTCTTTACCTCTCCTATGATGTGTTTTGTAATGGTAAACTTGGAAAGTGATATAACTAATTCGCTGATCACTTGGCTTGATGTCATCTATGTTCATTTCTTTTGTTTTTCCTTCTCTTAATCCTAGTTACTATAAGATGTTGTCTAGTTCCATATACAAAATTTCTGTATTATATCCGTGACTTTTACCTATTTGTGTTACTTCTTCAGGTTGCAGAACTTACAGTTAACGTCCAGCAGATAGCGGATGCTCTACAAGGTTCACCTGTTGTTGAAGTGCAGGTATTTCTTGTCTGTGTGCTGTGCCCTTTATTGTGTAAACTGTTGAGTTCCCTTGTCTTTAGTTGCAAGTAGAATGGTAATTGGTTTATTAAAACATTTTCATCAAGGACTTGATAATTGACATGTGTTGATACTGAGAGAGGAAGCTTGTCATAGCATATAACTTGAAAATATATAGCACTATTGGTCTAAATTCCTCTCAAGGCAGATAAGGCATTCAGATTTTGTTTCCTTGTGTGCTTTGAAAACTTTTGCTATTATTTGATTGCAACAAGCTTTCTTCTCTTTTTTGGTTGTTAGGGTGAAAGAATAAGGAAACGCTATAATTGGCAGCATTGGTTGCTTCCTAAAGGACCGGACACTGCGGTTTCAAGCCCACAATCTGTTGCTGCAGTAGCAAGCCGAGTTGGAAACTTGGCTCTTGGTGAGAGCTCGGCGGATCCAAATGGTGGTTCAAGCGGTCAGGTGCAACCTGCGGAAGCAGATGGTGCAACCCGTTGAACCATCATGGTGGTTAGTGTTGGACATGAAATATTTAATTATTTCGTCCTGCCTAAAATCAGGAAAAACAATAATGAAGGGGAATCCAAAAAAAGAGAGAGAGAGAGATAAAGGTAAGGCATAAAACCAAAAATAAAAAGAGACCCATATGAAAAACTGAAAAGGATCAAACATTTGTGATCCTTCTAGCTTTTCATTTTTATGGATTTTATTTTTTTTTGTTTTGGTTATTTTGGATGCTTATAAACTTTTTTTTTTTTTAATGTTTATTGCTACTTTGCGACATGAGATGGTGTCATTGACCAGTTGCTTTGTAAAACCATTGCTATGTTTTGGGATTTGTCTGGTTTTGCTTGCTAGTAGTACACTCTTGAACTTGTTGTTCCCCTAATCTTCACTTCTGTTTATTTTTTTTTAAATTACAATTTTTGAGGTGTTTGTTTGTCTAAGTAAAGGGAAAGTCTTCTTCAGAGAAGACTATCCTCAGCAAATGAAAGGTGTGAGGAAAAAAAAGCAGAGATTGGTAAAGTGAAGCAATAGCAAAAACAAGTGTGCCTTTAATCTGTCTTTGCCGTAAAAGTGTTATAAAAAGTAGCAAGAATCTAACAAAAACATGTACCAGACGGTGTGGTGTTGTCATTTTCTTACATTGCTTTGGTGTGAATATGAACTAACACGTGTTGCACGTTCTGCTAACGTTGTACTGTTGTGTATGTAGTAGGGTACCGTATGCGTATGGGATATGAAGTATCGGTCCTTTTTCTTAATGGGCAAGTCGCTGTATAGTTAAAACGATTTAGCAAACTGTTCGGCGAGTCGCTGTATAATTAACATCCTAATAAATAAACATAAAGTATTCATGTGATGTCAAATTTCATGATTCGTTTACTTAAAAGATGAAAACAACAAATCTTAAAAATGTTACTAGATCATTGAGATACTGTCATTCAAACAAAGTTCACCCGCCAAATAAAAGAAAAACAGTAAAGCTTTGTACATATTCAGAACGGTTTTTCCTTATCATCTGTTGTTTTATTCATCACATATTCACATTCTAGGGGATGTCAAAAGATCAACATAAACGTTATATAAACATTTCATTTCAACCGGGTTAGCCTTTCACGTATGTACTGCGAATTCACATAAAGATATTTGGTTTTCTGTATACTAGTATTCACTTTTAGATTAGTTAGGTAATGTTTTAATTTGATTATAATGGTGAAATTAAGTTTAATGTACGACATAGTTGTAACTAATAAATGAAAAACGAATGTACTCGCCCCTCACTCTCACGACTTATCCGAAGCCTAAGATGATCTACTTAGCATTCAGAGCCGTCTATATAGGTTATAGTCAATCTAGAGAATCTTAACGTTCGAAGCTCCTACGAGCTGTGGTTTCAAAGATTCAAGTGAAGATTATACGCGGATCTCTCTACTTCAAACAACTCTCTCCTTGGAATACATCTATCTCATCTTTACTTGTTTTATTGTTATTTACTTTACCTTCGAACCGATTGTTAGCTTCGAAATATTTTATTAATGAAATGTGTGCACAAAATATTTTATTACGAAAATTATAATACTTGGACAAGGCAAGTAAAATAGTAGATAAGGCGAAAAAGCCAAGTATCCAATTTGCGCCCTGGTCTAACCAAAGCAGAAACACTCGCATATATCAAAATATTATTTATGTTCACCTATATGTGGAAAATAGACTGATGAAAAAACAAACCCCAAGAATAGCTTCAACGTCACACAATCTCTCTATGAACCAAACACAACACACCAAATACATTCAAAATACACAAATCCAACCATGCTTCACTATCCAACGGTTAGCATTCTTTTGACTCTTCAACTCCAAGTTCTTATTTTATTGCTAAATTTATTATAAAGTTATTAAGTATAAAAATATTACTACAACTGTATGCCCGTATGGAGTATGGACCATAGTCTATAGACAACCTATGGACAGATGATCCCTGTACGAACCAGTGGAACTAAGAGAATCCAACGGTCATTCATAATAATGTTGCGTACGTTGGCTTAATTTGAATGTAAATGAAAATCAATAAATACGAGTACGTTTGCTCTTTTTATCTAATTTAAATTATGTATCAATGAAACTGCTTCTAAAGGCAACTTGATATAAACTAAGTAAGGGTGTAACTTTATGGCAGAGTTATAGAGTAAAATAAAATAGGTAAAAAAACATTTCAGTCTATTTACTCTAGTTTTATTTAGTTAGGTGATTACTATTCATAGCTCATTTACTGTAAACAAGTGAGAAAAACAATAAAAGTAAAGTAAATCATAACTCAACTTTAATGAAATGGAAAAATTTACCTCAAAATTATTACTACTTTTCATACTTATTATTTTCACTTTTTTCCATCCTTTCAGTCTAATAGATAACCAATCACACACTTTATAGATCAAAATGGTAGTTAAAAAGTATATTCGTTGATATTATGTTGGATTTAATAAGGTCTTACTTCAAAACTAACTGCTAAAAACCACAATGATATGTGTTATCTTTAATCACTATCATAATTATTAATATATTTAGTAGTTTATGTTTTTATTTTTGTATACAATTTATATTTTTATTCATGAAACAAAAAGTAATATTTTTTACTAGTGTAAATAAATTTGCATAGCATGAAACTACACCTCAAGCAAGAGAAAAATATAGTAAAAATAATACACAGTAGATATTAAAAATAAAAAATTCACACTTACTGTTTTGGCAACTGGCAAGCAAATTTGCCGGGTTTTGTTGTTCTGTCAACTTCAAATTTGCCGTTTATATGCATTGTTTTTGTAGTAAACCAAAGAGGATATTAAAAGATAGAGCAAGAGATTTTCTGGAATTTGAGACAGAGCAATACAGTGCTGACACATGTCCAATCCCCCTGATACATGACTTGTCACACTCTCTTTCTCTTGTACAACTCACAAGTATTGAATTCTGGACTACAACAATCGATATACGCATATGTGAATTGCTAGTTATTAGGAAAGGGAATCCTATTGATAAGGATTAGCTTTCCATTTATCATTATCTCATTAATATTTGTTAAACTTCCTATTTACTAAAGGAAGAGTCGGTTTATATGGTTGTATATATACTCTTGTATATCGTCAAAGTTAATACAAGTTGAGAGTTTACAATATTATCTCAAGTTTACATGGTATCAGAGCATTAAGATTTCTGTGACCTAATTCATCGTGTGTCTTGTTTTATTTGATCGAGATCAAACATATAAGTCATGACTGGAGAAGACGATTCTTCTGCAATAAAGAATTCGACAAGTCAAGTCGAGCAAGCTGTAAGCTCGAAGGTGCAGGGCCGTATACCTTGTTCTCTTCTGATAATCCAGGGTCAGTGATTACATCTGTGATTTTCACCGGAGAGAATTACAACGAATGGTCTACGGAACTCACGAACGCACTTAGAGTTAAAAGAAAGTTAGGGTTTATCGATGGCTCCATACCAAAACCTTCGATAACAGACCCGAGTTACGAGCTTTGGGTATCCGTCAATTCGATGATTGTCGGTTGGATACGTTCCTCCATTGAAGCTCGTGTTCGCTCTACAGTAACGTTTATTTCAGATGCTCGAAAGTTATGGGAAAATTTGAAAAAGCGTTTCTCTGTCGGAAACAAAGTTCGTGTGCATCATCTAAAAGAACAACTGGCGTCGTGTAGACAAGATGGACAGCCGGTGATGGAGTATTTTGGTCACCGGTGCAGCATCTATGGATGAGGTGTTAGGTCGAGGTCAACGTTCTCGGGTTCCTTCAGTGAAGTTGCGAGACTATGTCACCTATAATGCGAGTAGCCTTCAAGACCCCTCTCTCGCTCTTCACTGCTCTCAATCATCGCCTTCTGAAACAATCCAAGGTACTTCGTTATATCCTCTCACTGACTTCATATCTGATGAAAAGTTTTCTCCGTCGCATCGTGCATTCCTTGCAGCTGTAACTGCGGCTGTCGAGCCAAAATACTATTCACAGGCTGTTAAAGAAACGATTTGGCGTGGTGCGATGAAACAAGAAGTCGTAGCTCATGAGGATAGTGGTACATGGGATATTGTTTCTCTCCCACCTGGAAAGAAAGCGATTGGTTCCCGGTGGGTTTATAAATTAAAGTTCAACGCTGACGGTACGGTTGAACGACCTAAGGCTCGGCTCGTTGCCATGGGTAATAGGCAAGTTGCGGGTGATGATTTTAAGGACACCTTTGCTCCAGTGGTTAAAATGGCTACGGTTCGAGGTCTTCTTTCTCTTGTGGCCGCTAAAGGTTGGGAAATTCACCAGATGGATGTGCACAACGCGTTTCTCCATGGGGACCTCAAAGAAGAAGTCTACATGCGGCTTCCACCCGGTTTCACACATTCTGACCCTACCAAAGTCTGTCGTCTTCGGAAATCCCTGTATGGTCTCCGTCAAGCTCCTCGCTGTTGGAATGAGAAGCTCACCAAGTCACTAACGGCATATGGTTTTCAGCAATCTTATTCCGATTACTCCCTGTTCACTTACAGTAAAGACAACAAGGAGTTGCGAGTTCTCATATACGTCGATGATCTAGTTCTCGCAAGTAATGATCCGGACCTTCTCACAAAGTTCAAGTCGTACTTGTCTACGTGTTTCAAGATGAAAGATCTTGGTAAACTTAAATACTTCTTGGGGATTGAGGTTGCTAGAGCAGCAGAAGGTATTTTTATTTCTCAAAGGAAGTATGCGTTGGATATTATTGCCGATACAGGATTACTAGGGTGTAAACCAGTTTCCATTCCACTCGAACAATACCATAATCTTGCGTCTGATGACAGTCCATTCTTAGCCGATCCTAAGAAATATCGCAGGCTTGTAGGTCGTCTTGTTTACCTTGCTGTCACTCGACCTGATCTTTGTTACACCATTCACCTGCTGTCCCAGTTCATGCATAAACCTCGAGAGGCACATTGGACAGCGGCTCTTCGTGTTGTTCGGTTTCTCAAGGGTTGTCCAGGCCATGGTTTACTTCTTCGATCCGATAACAACCTTGATTTGTCTGTGTATGTGGACGCAGACTGGAGTACTTGTCCAAAGAGTCGTCGTTCCCTCAGTGCGTACGTCGTTTTCCTTGGTGATTCACCAATTCTTTGGAAAACCAAGAAACAAGACACCGTGTCAATGTCTTCCGCTGAAGCAGAGTATAGGGCCATGGCGTCTGCAACTAAGGAAATCAAATGGATTGTCCCACTTCTACGGGATTTGGGTGCTAAAATCAAAATACCAGTGACGTTCTACTGTGATAATAAGGCTGCCATACATATCGCCGCAAATCCAGTGTTTCATGAACGCACCAAACATATTGAACGTGACTGCCACAGTGTTCGTGATGCCGTCAAAGCTGGTCTTATTTCTACTACTCATGTCAAGACCAAGGATCAGATTGCAGACATACTAACAAAGGCTCTTGGGCGATCCCAGTTTCAGTTTCTCTCGTCCAAGTTGGGTGTTTTAGACCTTCACACTCCAACTTGAGGGGGAGTATTAGGAAAGGGAATCCTATTGATAAGGATTAGCTTTCCATTTATCATTATCTCATTAATATTTGTTAAACTTCCTATTTACTAAAGGAAGAGTCGGTTTATATGGTTGTATATATACTCTTGTATATCGTCAAAGTTAATACAAGTTGAGAGTTTACAATATTATCTCAAGTTTACACTAGTTCGTTCACAACATCATCACCACTACAATGATCTTTATTTTTACATCACTATATCTTAATAACAATCTATAAACTATAAACTTTGTGAATGAACTAAACAAATTTAGAACATATTAAAATAATTTTGAAGATTCAGATAAAAAATGAAGCTTCCACTTGTTCTGTTACCGTTGGAAAACATCTTCTAACAAATTTGTTTGAGTTAATATCTCAAGTAAAGAGCTTCTCATGTACTCTTTGCACATTCTTTATTCACCAGAATTGGATTTATATATAACTATATATATAAATGTGTACGGAAGTGAATAATTAACTTGTTGAATAGAATCTCAAGAGAAAAAAAATGAAGAAAGGAAAAACTATTGTATTGTACTATCAACCTGTAGTAAAGAAAAAAAAAATGAAAAGTGTGACTAGATATGCACTTGGAGCATGAGGAGGACATATATATTCGAATATCTAGATATCTGGAGGTAATCATGTAACAAAAGCCAAACACAAAAAAATAATGGTTTTAAAATTTTTAACTTTAGAAAAATATATATGCATGAATACATATACATAGAGAGACAATGTTCTCATGGTTCTTATTAAGCTTTAAAATGCAAGCAAATTAAGAAACAAAATAAAGGAAAAAGTTACTTAATCGAAGCAAGAAAAAAAAGTCACACATGAAAACTGAAAGTGATCCAAAAGGATGTGATGATCTCTTAAAATAAAAGTGAGATTAAACCAAAGTTTAATTATTTGCCTGCCTTTTTCAAGCATCTCTTCCCCACCCACACTTTTCCATTTTATGGATAATGACAATAGTTCACTTACCTTATTTTGAAATTATCAACATATTTATCATTTTAATACTTTGAAATTGAAGACATCAAAACTTTTTTTTTTTAAAGACATCAAAACTTTAATTACATAGTTATAGTAGTTTGGAATAGTTTCAATCTCGCTCAACCATCATTCCACAAATGACCAGCAAAAGTCAAGAAGCTCTCTGAACTCTCTACTCACTACTCTCCTCTCCTCTATGTTTTAGACCTTTTGGTTCTCTTTTCCAATGTTGTTTTCAGCAAAGCATCAGAGAAACAATAGAGTCTCTGCTACAAACAAGAACAAGACTCTCAACAAAGTTTCTTCCATTTCATCAGCTCCTCCACTCTCACAAGACTCTCAGAAGAGATCTCTAGTCACCATGGAAGATGTTTGGGAAGACATCAACCTTGGTTCCATCCAAAGCCAACATCCACAAGGCAACCATGAGCCAAGGTTCAGTAGCCACAACCACCAGAGCCAAAACCCTAACTCCATCTTCCAAGATTTTCTCAACAGGCCATTGAACCAGGAACCAACAATACCTACTATAGGTTCTTCCTCTAATGGAGATACTACCACTGTCACTGCTCTCTTCAGCAGCTCTCCTTTGCCACCTCCTGCAACTGTCCTGAGCTTGAATTCTGGAGCCGGCTTTGAGTTTCTTGATAACCAAGATCCTCTTGTTACCCTTAACCCTAATCTGCATAGCCACCATCAACTCAACACTCCTTTTGAGGCTCTTGTTACAACTACTTGTTTTGGTAAGAAAAGAGGCCGAGAATCTAATGAAGAAGGTTCAGGGAACAGAAGAAATAAGCGTATGATCAAGAACAGAGAATCTGCAGCTCGTTCAAGAGCTAGGAAACAGGAATGTGCCTCTCCTCCTCTCCTAACATTCTTCTTGAAAAATGGTTTTTGCCAACAAAAAGCTTATGATCTAATAAAAGGTTTTATGGGTTTTGATTCTCATTTGCAGGCTTATACAAACGAGTTAGAGCTTGAAGTTGCTCACCTGCAGGCAGAAAATGCTAGACTCAAGAGACAACAAGACCAGGTAAACAAGCATACAGAATTTCTTATTGTTTTACCCTTTAGGAAGCAGGCATAACAATAGTTCAAATCCTTATAGCTTAACTTCAGTATTCACCATGAGTAAATAGACATTCACTGCATATTTTTGTCCAATGACATTTTGAGTCATAAGATTCTGATGCTTTGTTTTTGTGTGTGTGTGTGCGTGTGTTTTGTGCAGTTAAAAATGGAGGCAGCAAATCAGCAACCCAAAAAGAACACACTTCAACGGTCCTCCACAGCACCATTTTGAGAAAACTGCAAGTCCTTATTTCTCTTTTGGGGATTGAGAGCCTTTCATGAAGAAGTGGAAAAGTTTGTACCTATTTTATTAGCTATAAGTATAACTAAGCTAAATTTGTAGAACTATAAGATATTGAAAGAAGTTGTAAAAAGGGGAAAAAACAGAAAGGGAAAAGGATATTTCCATTTCCTGAGGCACAGGAACACCTGTGGTAGGACTCTCTCCTGTTCTGTCATTTTTCTAATCAACTCTGTTCACTAGTGTACTAACTTCTACTTGTATTAGTGATACTTCCTCTTCTATAATGCTAATTTAAAAATTGACCAGTTATGTTTTGCTACTGTTTATCCCACTTGATGCTCAAGAGAATCAAAGGTTTTCAAGTGACCAATAGACAAAACAATGCTCCACTTAAAAGAAAAGTGAGAAAGGGGACATATCACTGAACATTTATGTTTCTCCCACACAAATGTCCATTCGTTTGGCTGGCTACCATACAATTACAAGCCAACAACTTGCACTATGAAAATGAAACCCTCCAAGCCAATGGGAATTAAGTCGGACCACTTTTTTTGTTGGTTGGTCAAGACAGAACACGATATGGTTAGTTATGTTCTGGTCGCCCCTAGTCACCATCAAACCTTATGTATGTATTTGGTTCATCAGGAGAATAGTTTTATCCTCTTCTGCTAATACTAGTCATCATCAAATACTATGTGTGTTAGAGTGCATTTGGTTCATCAGGAGAATAGTTTTTATCCTCTTTTGGTCCAACATCAAAATTTTACATGACAGTGATAAGTCTAGTTGATGATGTCGAAGAAGATTCTTCTTAATCTACTTTTGGTTGTTGATATTTTGCTGATGTATTCTTGTAAGCAAGCAAAAGTGGAAATCAAGAGCAAATATGGTGTGGCATTAAGATAGAGAAGAATAGTTATCAAAAGTAGAAATGTGACCAGAATCTATCCTCACATTATATGGTAATACTTGGAGCCCCTCAAATAAGCATCCAATACTATAAATTCATGAATTTTAAGTTTCAATCCAGTCAATGAGAATCTTCCATTATCTTCCAATTGCTTACAATAGACTTAAGTAGAAACTTAACAAGTAAACGGTGGGTACATTCGCCTGAAACTATACCTCCAAATAGCTTACAATCCAATGGTTTTCTCACTAGAACTTTAAACTTAAAACTGTTACCAGAACTTGTACATAGGAAAGAACAAACCATTAAGAAGCCTCTTGCTGCAGATTCGTTGCTACTTTCATTCTGATCACTTTATTTTCTGAAGTGGTGTTTGAAGCAAAAAAAGTTCAAGAAGCTTTTGATGCATCATCACCATCTTCCCCAAGTATTTTACCATCCTTTGGAACTAAGCATGGGATCCCATCTTTTATCTGGCATGATAAAAAGAAGTAACATCAAGTCTTAAACACAGAATCTTGAAGAAGTGGAAACTTATGATTAAGTAAAACCAAGACTTAAAAAAATGTGATCATGATCATGAAGATGAAGAAGAATATGATTAAGAAGCAAAACCAAGACTTTTAACATATGATTGGTTCTAACAAACACTGAATCCTAAACCAACACCAAGAACATATTCCTTTAAACGTATGAATCAAACCAAGTTGTTATAATTCTTCAAAGATCAAAGTTGAGATCACAACATGTTTACCCAATAGTAAAGTTCGAAACTTTAAGCAGTAATCAACTAATCTGAATCGAAAGTTGGAAACTTTTTGGATTGAATTAGAGTTTCTGAAAAAAATAAAGCTTACAGGGAAAGAAACACCGATTGTATCGCTGACTAGTGACTTCGTCTTCTCGCAAACCCTTTAACAAAAATTAGACAAAATTTGATTAATTCGATGGATACAAATGAACACTTACAAAATTGAAGGAGAGAAAATGGAACCTCAAGGGTTGCTTGGAGAGAGGGCAAACGAGAATCTCCGACAGAGTCTTGTCGATTGCATGTCCTGCCTCTTTTAGCATCACTCTGCTCAATCTCACCATGTTCGAGCAAGCTTCAATCTGACAAGAGTCAAACGCTAAACGCAAAACGCCGTTTTGACTCTCAAAAATATTATTACAACCATTCCGCTAAATGTTTTTATGTTTTTGTATTAATGGTCCTTTAATGTTTAGATATTTAGATTATAAGCCTCTGTTTCTTAGAAATTTTCATTTAGGCCCCCTTAATTCTTATAATTGTTAGGATTCGACCGACAATGTGCATGTGGGAAGCATCTCTTTAAAATGGACTCGACAAGAATCATGTCATATCAGTTTTGTCCATGTTTTTAAGGCTTTTAACAATGGTGATAACTCAAATGCATCCATTTTCATACATATACTGTATGTGATGCTTTATTATCCACAAGAATATGTAACATGTGTTTCCTCACCTGACTACTTACTATCCTGACACAAAGCATAAATATTCGTTCAATTCGGAAATTCATAGGAGTTTTTAAGAAAAATGATATTTCGGATTTAGTAAGTATATTTCAGATTTTTTTTTAATTTAAAATGACCACATATGGACTGCCATGTGTCCTAGGGACCCGTAAATAGTGTAAGGATTAGCTAAGAAAGTCCTTATTTAAGGATTTTAAGAATCGAATTCTTAACTTTTTGTACAGTCTACTGATTATTTAACTATTTTTTTTCTAAAGACTCCTCTCTAAAGACTCTAGTTGTGGATGCTCTGATATCCTCTATCATCATATGGTAAAATGTAAATTAAGAGAATCTAGTTAGTCTGTATAGTAGTCTATTATGATACACAACAACACAATATACTGAAAACTTCAATGGGAATCTCCAACCAATTTACACACACAACAACGATCTAAAACAAAGCAGCAAGAAAGAAGAATCTTGTGTCATATTCAGAGAGGTATAATAGGTCGTATTGTTTTCCACCTTTTTAGTATATGATTGAAAATATGATTCAATGTTCCATGAACTGCGAAGGAGGCGGACTTACTTTCGTCTTCTCCGTACCTACAAGGATATTAACAGACGCGAGCTTTGTTCATGCTCCAAGAATCAAGACTAAAACAAGAATATTGTTAAGACGTATATATAGAGAGAGTTCATACCATAAGTCCCACGAATCTCAACTTCTCGCAGTTCTTGAACAAGAGCACAACAACAACACATCAAATGTGATAGAAAATCGTCAATGTACCCTCCCTGCCAAATCAGCAAACATTTTTAAGTATACACTCATACCATGATATAGTTACAAGAGTGATTTTGAAGAAAAATGTACCGTTATGTTGAGTTTTTTCCGGAGTTTCCTCCTCACACAACAAGTATAGCAGCAACAAGAAAGTATCAAAGAATACGCCATTAGCTCATTACATGCTTCAGCTGAAGCTGCAAATGCGTAACACACACAAAATAGTCAACTTATTAGTTTTCGATTTTTCACATGTATGAAAACATAATAATGTATATAATATAATTCCTTACACATGTGTCTGTTAGTTGCTGCAGTGGCAATCTTTGCCAAAGTACCACACGGGAAAAAGAATGTCTTCAAGCCTACAGTTTCCACATAACGGAATGTAAAAAGATACTCATCGTATATAATAGATAAGACAAAAAGTAAAAATATAAATCACTGGTAACAACAAAAAGAACTCACAAAGAGAAGGTTCCGAGCAACAAGCTAATAAGTCCGTATGCCACTCTTCATGGTGCTGTGATGCTTTTCTTGAAAGCATCTCATGCCCCGATGTAACATTAGAAGTGGACCTCGAAGCTGCACGACTACTATTTTTCTTTGGAGAATCTTCCTCATACGAATATTCAACCGTATTGCTTGAGATACGGTCAATTCTTTTCTTCTCAGAGCCACCATCAACCTCAGCAACGGTTTGAGTAACACCAATCAAACGTTGAATGACTTCACACTGCGCCACATCATAATGCTCCTGCGAGCGCTGAAGCTCGAGCTGCAGTTTCTCGTTCTCTGTTTTGAGAGCATCACAGAACCGCAAGTTAGGGTATGAGCAAGAGAGAGTCTTCTTGAGTACAGAAGCTGCTTCTCTGGTGGATTCTTGTTTCATAATAACATCTTGCACATGTCTATCTTCTTCATCCAGAGTGTACTCGAACTGATCACGGTCAATATATTCTAACCTCTCCTGCTTACAAAGAAAAATAACACCCCCATCAACAAGATTATGAAAACTAGGCATGCCGGTTCAGAGTGACAAAAAAAAAGGCATGCCGGTTCAGTTAGTTTGGTTCAACATAAATTTGACCAAATTAACCCAAAATAAGGTTTGTTTAGTATTCATTTTAGTTCGGTTTTTTTAAATCCTACCGAAATTTTTGATTTCGGTAGAATTTTAGTTTAAATTTGTTAAAATTTTAGATGATTCGTTTTGAAATTAGGTTAGTTCGGTTCAGGTTTTTGGTATGGTTTGAGTATATTTTTTTTATTAAGAGAAGAAAACCAAAGTAACCAATTGCCGAACCGAACCAAACCAAAAACCGACTTTTTAGAAAAAACAACCAATCGAACCTTTACTTCTAACCGAACTAACCAAAATTTTGGTTTGGTTCGATTCGGCAGGTTTGGCTCAAAATCTCAGGCCTAAAACTCAAGTAACTTACTCTGACTCGAGCGTTATCAACCAAAGTAATGAGTGGTATGATCTTAAGAAACCGATCAATCTCATCTTGAGCTTTCCTAAACTGGTAAACAATGTTCCATCCCATAGCCAACAAGTATAGATAGCTCCTGTCACGACAGCTGTTAACCAGAATATAAGACCTCCTCAAAGCATCCTCAAGGCCTTCAAGAGGCTCACGAGTCTCTGGATACTTCTTCATCTCAGAGAGCTTCAGCTGCTCAAGCAAGTTACCAATGAGTTTAAGGTGTTGAGCAAACTGGCGACAGTTTTTCTTGTGCATCCAAGCAGTGTTGGATGCTTTCACTATAAGACCAATGATCTTGACAGCGTCTAGGCCTGTGAGCTGAGCTACTGAAGCAATCTCCCCGAGTCCATCCCATGAATGAGACATTGCCTTTGATCAACCGCCAGTAAATTCCTAGTGGTAAAAATTCATAACTCTTAGTAACATTTTTATTTTTGAATATTTCGGCCTAAGCATTAAGCCTCCAGACCAAAAACCATATCATATAATATTAATTTCCTCTCAAATATTAAAAATAATCATGTAATATTAGTTTCGTCTCAAATATTAACAAAATAATCATGTAATATTAGCTTCGTCTCAAAAAAATAAAAATAATGTAATATCAGTTTAGTCTCAAATATTAAAAAATAATCATGTAATATTAGTTTCATTCCAAATGTTAAGATCTTAGTAACATGTAAAGATCAGTAAGATGGGATTATCTAGAGATTGTTTGACATTTTACCTTAACGGAGCTAATATTTACCGGAATTAGAGAATCGGATCCAAGTTCTCCGGCGCCGACATTGATGATTGAAAAATCAGTTGAGTAAATGGAGTGAAGAGAAGGTTGAGTAAACAGGGAGCAGTTTCTTGGACTGCAACAATAAAAGAAAGAAGAAAAAAAAAGAAAAAGTTGATAAGATACGAATCAAAGAGATTCTTCAGGTCTTTTATACGTAGTCAAAGATCTTCAACGTCAATAAAGAAAAAGGCTCCTAAAGACTGTTTCCTCTTTGAACACTTCAAGCTTACGAAAGCTAAAGAGAAAAATAAAGACAAATGAATAGTGTAATCTCCGACGAGTGATCAATTCGCCGGCGATTAAACTCCTCAACAGAGAGTTTAAGTAAAATGGAAATACACAGAACGTTTATAACAATAGTTTAAGACTTGAGTGAGAGAGAAAGGAAACAGTATTGGAATGCTCACTAAATGCATTGAAGAGGGCAACAGATATACTTTCCATATAACATAGAAATTAGTAAAATGGAAAAATGTTAGAATATTTATTTAAAAGGCAGGAAGGAGAAATGTTTTTATATAGAGTACAGTCTTGAGTTTTCTGAGAATAATGCAAATCAAAATCACCTGAGTGGAGAAGATTCTCCTGAGTTAAGAGGAGAGGAAGAGAGGAGTCATGTGGAGAGAAGACGGTTTGTTTTTGTCAGATTTTTAGCTTCATTTGCCACTGAAGAACCTCATATTACCAAATATGACCTGCCTAACTCCCTTTATTTACTATTATGCCTCCAGTGACTTTTCTTTTTCACTAACCATAAAGTTAATGATTTGTGGAAGCCCCCTTGGTCCAGTGGTTTGACTAATGGTTCATTGATGCTTCTACACCAGCAGGTATGGAGTTCGAATCCCAGAGAAAACAGAATTATGCGAATTAATGGAGAAAGACTTACAAGAGATCTGCAGCATGGCACAAGGAGTACCGTCAAGCGTGGATCCGATAGGGCGGCTCATGTGATGCAGTCAGGCGTGCGTGTATCCTCATAAGATAGGTATAGAATTGTCAGTTGTTGAATCGTCTGTAACATTTCTCGTAGTTTGTAATGGCATAATTATCCAGTGTTAAAAAAAAAAGTTAATGATTTCTGCATTAAAGCATTTTTAAATCAAGTCTGGTTACATTTTCTACTATATAATTATGAAGATATGTGATTAGTTAGATTTTAACTAGTGACTTTTGTTTTATTTTAGCTCTACAACCATATAAATTACCAATCGTGTTTTAAGTAGTTTTTAAAACTAAAGTAAAAATAAATAAAAAACAGATGTATGAGCTTTATTTTCTAAAGCAAAAAAATATTGTTGTATGAATATTTGTCTTTTTCTATTTTTTCTCATTTAATTTCTACATATACATTAGATATAGATACGTCCAAAAATTTTACTAACTAAATTATACAATAAAAGTTCTACAATTATAATCTAACCAATTACTTCCATATTGTAGAAGCAATTTGTTCCACAAAAGAAATACTAGTAGGCACAATAGCAAATGTTTTTTTTTATTTTGAAAAACACACAACGGTATATGTTAAAAATTGTAAAATAGTGGCGAAATGGGATAAACAAAAAAACGAGACATGATCGCTTGAACTTGATTTGTCTTTGAAAAACAGTCATTGTAGTAATGATGAAGGTTAAGGTAGGAAAGGCAATCAAGCTATCACACATTCCCTCTTTAAGTACCTTTTCTGTTGAAATTGATTTGTCTTTGAAATGCAGTTACGGTAATCATATGCCTTGTTTATTCTAATTACTATATAGTTGAATAATCTTCCTCTATAATAATCTTGCTTCACGTCGATTGCCCATGATTGTTTTCTAGGCAGCTGGCGAAACGGACGGTAAACTAATGTTGCCTATCCTTTAGCAACAAAATGTGTATATATATTTATATAACAACTACAAGAGATTACTAATATTTTGGCAAGTATACACTATATCCATGTGTGAAAAGAGTGGACATTGGTGTTGGTGGTGGACCTGGTGGAGTATGACTGCTACGCCCTCACTACCTTTTGATAGTGTCTATGTACCATGCGTTTATACTTCTCTATGTAAACTTTCTTTCCTCAAAAGTATATCATTGATTTCAGCAAAAAAATTGTCGGTTCTGTAAATATGTTGATATTACAGCTGCTCCATGACAATGAATAATATAGATCTTGTACATGTCCAGCTGATTCTAAGCAAATGAAGATTGATGGATTATTATTGAACAAAAGTCTCAAACAAATCATCCTGTACAAACTGATCCATATATACTAGTATATGTCAATCATAATGTACAAGTAAGAAATGAGAAAGTGAGAGACTGTTGTTTGTTTGGTGGATTGTCTTAACACGAAATTTATTAGTTGAAAATTATCGGTCACCTTTCTTTATACTAAACTAAATGTTTTCGAAATGTCCTTATCTGCAAAAATAAATGGGATAGCGAAATTTTCCATACACATCATAAAGCTATTACTTATACTTAACAAATGTATTTTATACAGTACTATAGACTAGTTTTTGGGGTTTAATTAGTGTAAATCTTCATCGAATGTCTAACACTTTGTCGGGATCGAGCTTATAAAGAATAATATAGTACCTCTCAAAATCTGCATTTCCTCAGACCCAAATGATGATTAAACTATTAGCGTCAGAACACTCTTAACAAATATAAAAATCATGTGCTAATCAGCTAACCCCTAACGTAGTAGCTTTAGGAGTCCGTGACCAAAAGTTTATGACTTGCAAATAATCATATGAACCAGAATAGCCCGTGATTTTTTTCAATCTACACATAATCAATAGCTATAAATCTTATACTATAGTATTTTATGCATAATAGCAGTCTAGTTAACAGCTAACAAGTTTCAGGTTTTTGATTATTATAATCTACTTTCGTTAATGTTTTGACTGGTACAACTTACAAGTTGTTGAACATAAACATATGCCATCATTATACAATGGGCTGAGTTATTCGTTAGTAAAGCCCATAATATCAATATCTTAAATCAATCCCTGGCCCAAAATCGAAATAGACTTTTCCTAACCGTATATTATCCTCGTCAGCGAGACAAAAGACTTAAATTAAACAACGAGAAAACGGAAAATTAAAAACAACACGTGAAAAAAAACATATTTAAACTTCCGTTACAACTTTCGTGATTTCGTTTTCAGTTATATACACTTCCAATTTCTTTTGAACTTATTCAATCAATTCACACGTTTACACAACAGAAAAAATATTCCAATACGTAGAAAAGGAAAAAAAAAAAAAAAACTCACGAGAGGAGCCACACTGATAATTAAATAACGCGTGATTGAGGATTAATGTGTTCGTGTCCTTTTATAAACATTCAATTTAATCATGCTAATTACCCACTTACGTAGGACCCGCACTCACAAATCCTAAACTACCCTTCCGTCCCAAACGCATTAAAACAACAAAAGAAAAGGACACTTCCGTCATTTCACAAGATATTATTAAAGAGTAAAGCAAAATTCGTAGTACAAAATTTTAGCGCAATCTACGCTTCAAAAAATTGATACAGAAACCAAACAACTAGTGGGTAAGGAAAGTGGGTCCCACATCTCCGATAATCAAGGAATCAGCCACTCGTAACGCACCACGTATCGAGATTACTTCGGTACTTGTTAATAGTAGCTTAAAAGAAAAAATGGTTTTTGGCGGGCGTAATAAAAAAATTCAAAAAACCCCAAAATTAAAAACCCTAGCGCCCCCCTCTCTCTCTCTCTATCTTTCACTCAAATAATCTCTTCCCTCCCTCTCTCGCCACTTCTCCCTCCATCTTTCACTCTCTACGTTTCGCTTCGAGCTTTCCCCTCTCTCGGATCCGAATCTTCCCCGAAGTAGAAAGTCTCTCTGTTATTCTAAGGTAATATTAGCTTCCTTCTCCGTCTATTTTCCCCCTTTTTCGATTTCTAGGGTTTCGAATCTCAATCGATTCGATTTGGTATCGTATTCTAGTGTAATTAGGTCTCACGATTGATTTAATTTGATTTTTGTAGCTGTTAATTGCGTAATGGGGAAGGTATCACCAAAGGATTCAGATTCAAAAATCTCAACGAGGAAGAAGAAGCTAAAGTCTACGAATAACAAATACTTAAAGCCTGGGGCTCTTGTTCAGCTCTGTTACAGTAAAGCTTCGGCTAATACTAAGCCTGCTAGGAACAGTGGCGTTCCATTGGAAGATGTTAATTCTCCGAGGAGTCCTTTGGTTTCTTCCCCTGTTAACGGTGTTAAGAGGAGTAGTCTTGTGAGGCCTATGAAGTTTGATGATTTGCAGGTGGAGAGTAAGAAGAGTCCTTTGATTGTTAGGCAGAACTCGTTGTTGAGGACGCCGAAGACGCCTCAAGCTGAGATTTATTGTGACTCTGAGTCTCAGCTTGAGTCTCTTCCCATGGATTTACTGGTAATTTGTTGTGTTCTTGCGGGGCCGGTCCTGAGAATTAGGAGGCCTAAGTCGATTTTTTTTTATAAAAAAAAATTAGGGGACTAAAACCAATGTTTCATCCGGTTTGGCCCAGGACCGGCCCGGTGTTCTTGTGTGGAGTATTGTGTGCAAGCCTATGCCTTATTTTGCAACTTGTTTTATGTAATTTGTAGGTTAAGATAGTGACTCATCTGCATCATGATCAGTTGAAAGCAGTGTTCCATGTTTCCCAGAGGCTAAGGACAGCTGTAAGTGTTCTCTGTCTTGTTTTTTTTCTCAGTTTTAGCATCTATTTGTTTTAATCTGTTTTGGGTTTACAGACTGTGATTGCAAGACAATATCATTTCAATTATACAACGCCATGCCGGTCAAGGCAGGAGATGTTGAGTGTTTTGACCCCAATGCCAATAAATCGTTGGCCTTTTGTTAGGTAGTTGTTTTTTGTTTTTCTAGTGTTAAGAAAAAGAGTATCAAACAACTTGTTTGTCTCTTAACTATACCCTTTATTGATCTGATAAACAGCATGGGTGATGGAAACGCGAGGATCATGGCGAGTCCACACACACCAAAGGCACCGAGACATGGTCCTCGACCACCTTTCAGAACTAAAGTAGCGGAGATGAAGCAAATCACTGCTGTTCTTTTCCAAGACCAGACAGCTTTCCCTTCGAGGTGTGTCGTTCCTTCGGTTCTCCAGAGGCCGAGTTTGTTCAAGCCACTGGCTCCAAAGCACCCTCGTGTGCTCTTCTATGAGGATGAGTTATGTCAAGCTGTTGCTCAGAACAACCTTCAGTGATTATGCTTTGTGCTACAGTCTCGTTTCGCGTTTCCCCTCTCTGTTCATATTAGATTTGCTTTCATTGTGGTTTCATGATAATCTCCATCATGATTTATCATTGGCAGCCAGCGTCGTCTCAAGTTATAGACTATATAGTATTAAGTAGCATGCAAGTTTTGTAGCAGTGCTAGTTCAGGGTGTTAGGGTTTTACATGGGATTCTCGTAGTATCATTTCAAGGTTTTCGAGTCATCTGAGTTTGTCATAATAAGCAAGTGGTTTCTGAAACTGGTCACAGTTGAGTCTTGTCTTGTGTGTATATTTTTCTGCATTGGATCAGTTGTTTACTTTTCTTTTTATTATGTTTATTGTTACTTGCTTTCTTCTTATGTTGGCTCTAAAGTTTATTTACTTTTCATTTTATGTTAATTTTTTTTTTCAATTTTAATGATGATACAAAATTTTCATTGGTATTTAATTATTACAAAATAAATGAAAATCAATCATTTCTTAATAAGTATACACAATATTGAAACATCAACTAATTTCTTAATAAGTATACACAATATTTAAACATCAACTAATTTAAAACATAGAGTACCAAAAATGGAGACGGGAAAATATGTTTTAAAATTGATAGATCAATTATAATTTTGGATGATTTAATACCAGTTCAATGTAAAATCAATTTACAACATAATTTTGTAATATTTCAACTGTAAATTTAAATAAATAATTTCCATCCACTATTAAACAAGTTTTATAGTATATTAAAAGGTGTTTACATGAATATAATAAGATGTCATTAGCTGAATGAATACCCAATTATTTAGGCAAATTAATTAATTCTCAAAAGGCCTCTGATCTTATTGGGCCTTATAAACGTTTTTGCAAAACAGCCGTCACTATCCTTGTTCCCAAACAAAGCAATCGTCCCGTGTAGGGTCCCAACAATCCTTTTTTGTGGCTATAAATCAACCTTCTCTGAGTTGCGTAGAAACATTTTTTTTTCCCCTCATCGAAGAGAATCGAGATCTCGCGGCTCTCTTCTCCGCTCTCAGCTGTTGCCTCCGATCCATCGCTAATTCTACTCTTAACTTCGTAGATTTGATTTTCGCGCGTTATTATAAGCTTTCGTGATTCGATCTAGGGTTTCCGCGAGATCTAAGATTCCTTTAATTTTGTCCCGTATTCGTCCCGTAAAATCGTATAACAAATGTCTCGGTGTTTCCCGTTCCCGCCACCTGGCTATGTAGTTAACGGAATCCGCGATGCTGATGTGGCTATGATCGATTCGATCAAGGTTTGTTTGAGCATTTGATTCGGTTTCGGTTGTTGAAAAACTGATTCTAGGGTTTGTTGGAAGTTTTTTGGGATGGTGATTAAGAGAGGGATACAAATTGTACTATTATATATATATAACAATAATATACACATGTCACAATATCAACTGGTTTGTTACAGATGTTGATGTTAATTAAGAAAAAAAAAAAATGATTCTAAGAATGTATAGTCAGTCCCAAATTGAGTTCATGTCCCTAAAACAATTGTTGTTCACTATTGGAAGTTTATTTGTTGCTCTATCTGAGTTATTGTTTCTTGAATGTGGCAAGTTCTTGATTTAAGCATTGAATGTGGCAAGTTCTTGATTTAATTATTGATGGCAAGTTCTTGAATTAAGGATTGATCCATTGTTTTTGGTAACTCAGGGGGAAGAAAAGAAGAGTAAGAAAGAACATAAGGGAAAAAGAGACAAGAAGGAGAAGAAAGAAAAGAAAGATAAGAAGGATAAAAAGAGGAAGGAGAGGGAAGGTGAAAGCGAAAAACACTCTCATAAGAGACGGCGTAAAGGAGAAGAAGTTGCCAAAGATGTTCAGAACAAACTAAAAGAAAGTGAAAGTGTTTGTTTGGAGAAGAGTAGTCTTACTGTAGAGCGTGAGCTGGTTCAGTCCACGTCTCAGAACTCTTGTGACAGCACTCTTAACAGCAATGAGAAGGAGAAGCAGAAGGTTACTCTCAATGTTAGACATAACAACAAGAATGATAGCTCTCTTAACAGCAATGAGCTACCTAAAGAGAAGCAGCCTCTCAATGGTAGACATAACAGCAATGAGCTGCTACTTAAGGAAAAGGAGAAGCAGCTTCTCAATGGTAGGCATAACAGCAATGAGCTGCTACTTAAGGAGAAGGAGAAGCAGCTTCTTGATGGTAGACATAACAACAACAACAACGACTCTGGTGAGTTTGTTTGTGTTTCTTCCTTTCCTTCCTGGGAAGGATGTAGTAGTAGTATTCTTGTTGGGTTTAATTACCTTTTCAGGAGTATTGATGTTTCTTCATATATGAATTTGAAGAAAGCATCATTCGGATTCGTTTGCCTATTCGAAGGCCTAAAGATCCTGAGATGACGATGATGGTTACCAACAAGGATCATCATCAACCTTGTCCTTCCCAAGATATAAAGTTAGATAGTGTTGCTAGAGAGCAGCCGCAACATCCTTGTTCCACTTCTGCACCAGAACAAGTGTCAAAGAGAAAGGACCACACTTCCAAAACCAAACACAAAGAGAAGAAACTGTCTTCCACTGCTCGAGAAGCTTTGCAATTCTTGAACATAGTTGAGAATTGGGTCCCTACCACGATCGAGAGCAGAGTAGAGCTAACTAACTCTGAAGATGATGAATGTTGGTGGTTGGTAAAGAAGCCAAGTAGCAACAAGATTGACACAGAAAGAAGCAAACAACTTAACAGAAACAATGAGACCAGGCAGCAAGTAATGAGCAATACTTGGCCACGTGCTAGCCTTTTACCAGAAGCTGATGTCTACGCCTTACCTTACACTGTCCCTTTCTGATTAAAGGTTGAGAGATAGCCAAGTAAAAACCTGGTACGAGATATCTATGTACCGGATTCGGACCAGACATTTTTCTGGGTTTAGGCCTTGAATGTTTGTTTGTATAAGAACACTGTTCTTTATTCTTAGTAAAATCAGTTTTACCCCTCAAATATCTCTCTAGCTGGAAAATTGAATTCCTTTTATGACAATTTGGAGTTACATACTTGAACAAACCGGTTATAATGGTAGAGAAAGAGAGGAATACTAAACAATCAGTTAAAAATGAAGTTTAAAATTAACCAATAATTCGAGTTTTAAGGAACTAAGAGTCAAACAAACACAACGAAAAGAAAAGGTTGAAAAATTGAAAAAACAAATACTTCTCGAAGAGCTGCTTAGCCTCTCAATGAAAAGCATATTACAGAATGGAGCAAGCCTTTTGTGCTTTGCTCTTCTTTTTCTTCTGCTTTGGAGGTTGAAGAACCACTCTGATGGCTGCATCAAAGACTCCCTTCACATTCTGCAGTTTATATCATCACACATGGTTTTACATCAAAAAGATTGAAGCAAACATTGAAAAAAAAAGGTTCATAAGTTTTCTTTACCTCTTGTGATTTTGAAGAGCATTCAATGTAAGCAGGCGCTTCAATTAGCTTCTTGAGCTCCTCTCCCTTTTAATGCAGAGTAGTCAAATGATTAACGAGTTTATTATTTATTTATTTTTTATAGAAAATGGCACTGAGGAGATACAAAAAACATTCATACCTGAGCAGTGGTAATAGGGACAGCACCAGGATGGTCGACAACAAACTGTTTGTCATCCCGAAGATCTGACAGAATAACATAAAAAAAAGGCAAGAAGACCAAAGCTCCAGGTGTTAAATATATAAATGCAAACAAACCAAGATGTTCAAGAAGAGTAAGATTACCTAGTTTGGTACCAACAAGGACAATGGGGACACCAGGAGCATAGTGTTTCAACTCAGGGATCCACTTCTTGGAGACATTCTCATAACTAGCCTTACTAATCAGAGAGAAAGCTAGTATGAAAACATCAGCTCCACGGTAACTCAATGGTCTTAATCTGTTGTAATCCTCCTGCCCTGTTTAACATCAATGTAATTAATATTTTATATATAAATCCATAGCTGCAAACAACAAAAAAGCTGAATGATGAAATGGCCATAAATATATACCTGCAGTATCCCACAATCCAAGATTCACGGTTGCCCCGTTTACAACCACATTAGCACTAAAGTTATCAAAAACAGTGGGGACATAGTCCTGTTTCCAATGGAAAAAAAAAACATTATACATCATATTAGCTCTAAATAACCAATCACCATTCACATAAAATATGTATAATCAGACAGAAGATGAAAATGTTGCCAAGAATGTTGAATTTTTGTTATTACCGTGGGAAAGGTGTTGCTGGTGTAAGAAATGAGCAAACATGTTTTGCCAACAGCTCCATCACCAACCGTGACGCACTTTATGAACCTTGATGCGCTCATTTCTTAAGCCACACGTAAGCACCACACAATACACACACACAAAGAAATAATCAACCTCAGATCTACGCCTGAGGAACACCAGAATACGAAGCCAATTCCTACGAATTGTCTAGCATTTACATAAGATTAACCATCTTCAGCACAAATAAAAACACTAGACAAAATGTGTAGGAACGTGGAAAAGGAAAAATATCAGAAAGAAAAAAAAGAAGGTATGTGATTGATCAAAGGAGGAGGAAGAAGATGGTTAACAAAACGTGAGGACGATGAATTGGATCAACAGAGAGAAAGAGACAAAGTAGAAAGTGATGTCCGAAAATAATTGCCATTGAAGCGTTCTCTAATGGTATGTAATGGCATCATCTCTGCCACCAACTCTCCCCTATTCTTTTGCCTCCTTTTTCTAATTTTTGTTTTTGCTTTTCTGTTTTTATTGGTTTTAATTTTTACATTTTAGGCATTTTCTATAAAGAAAATGGAATAACATGATTCATATTCAATGTATCAACAAGACAAAACTATTTCTCTCATCATAATGTTGGTCATGTATCTTGTTTAGTACTAATGTCTAAAATATAGACCATCGTGCACAAAATATTTAAATTGACTTCATCTCCGACATTCATACCTCATTCACGTACATAACAAATAGTCTAAATACATTATGTATCTTGTTCCCAAACATGCCAACATATATAGTTGCATAAATGAAAAAAAAAAGAAGTGAATATATGCCAAGATATAGTTGAATAAGGGTTCTCCCAAAACATACTTTGTTTTATCCAGCTGACAAACACATACTTCTCCCATATACAATGTCAATGCAATGACCTTCAAACTCTAGTCTCATCTCTTCCCGAAACTGTGCTCCCAACGACGGGTTGCATAAAAACAGAACATATAACGAAAAGAAACAAAAGAGAAAATAAAAAAAAATACAAAAAAAGAAAAACATTATCATTCTCACTTAATGATATTTTGAAGGTTACCAATCAAACCCAATATTAACACACTGTATCCATAATGTTTGTATCATCAATCTATTGATTCTCAAAGACAGCAAAGTAACCAAAAACCCTAATATTTTTAATCTGGCTATTGCTTCTGCAACAAGGTAACGAGACTGATGTTCAAACAATATAAGTACACAACTCCTCCTCTACGGCTCTACTTAGAACTCTTTTTCCCCTTCTTCCTTTCTTTAGCTGCCACTTTAATTGCGGTTGTAGCCAACGATGATGGCTTAACTGCACTCTTTGGGTTAAGAACTTGTCTGAGTTTGAATACTGTCCACGCTGTTCCAAGAGCATGCCCTGCTGCTCCAAGCCCTGCGTTTGTCGCCTCTGCTGTCTTTGCTCCATACCTCCAAAAATCAAACCCATTAATCATCAGACATCAGATCAACATAACACCGAACACATTGGCTTTTTGTACTTACTTGTGATCGACAATTTCAGTAGTGACATCTGAAGTTGTTTTCATCACGTTCTTTCCAGCTATTTCCACAGCATCACATACCTTGTCTGTCACACACATGTTTAAAAACAGAGTTCAGTTTCAAGATGGATACAAAGATATATAGTAGATGAAGTAATCTCTTACTGAATCCATCAAGTGTTGCAAGAACCATTTCTCCAGGAAGAAGACCAAAGAGCTTCTTCCCAGCCGCGCTGTTCACCACTGAGCTGGTGAAGAATCCAGAGACTTTTACAGCCCCGGAGAGCACTCCTTTGGCCACTTTATCCGTCATCTTTGTCATCTTCCTCACTCTGTTATACAAACCCAATAAGTCTCAAACACACACAAAAACTAGGCCTGCGGGATTTGTCCGAACCAAACCAACCCAAATGTTTGGTTTTCGGTTTGGTTTCGGTTTTGAGTTCGGTTTGGTTCGGCAGAGTTTTGAAAAATGATTCAGTTTTGTGTTCGGTTTTTGAATTTTTAGTGAAAAATTATAAATAACCAAAATAATGAACCGAAACAACCAAAATAACCGAACCAAAACTATAGTTAAACCAAATTCTAACCGAAAACAGAAAAAAATTAAACCGAAATTAACGAAAAGCCAACCGAACTAATTATTTTCCAGTCCACTTCGCTAGATTGTGGTCGAACCGAATAAACCGAAAAAAACGAAAAAATACCTGAACCAGAAATAACCGAATAAACCTAAACCAAAGGCCTAACAGTGAGATTGTGGCAAACCGATTAAACTTAAACCGAAACTACCCAAACCAAATAAACCTAAACCAAAGGCCTAACAAAAACCGAATCTATTTGTTTCGGTTCACTTCGGTATAACCAAAGAGGATTGTGGCCGAACCGAACCGAAACTAAACCAAAACTATCCGAACCGAATAAACCAAAGGCCTAACAAAAACCGAAAGATTGTGTACCTTTTGAGACGTTTCAGAGTCGCAGGGCTAACTTCCCTCTCCTTCTCAGCTTTCGTCAACTTCCTTTTCATGAACTCATTCCCCCACATGAGCCGTTCCATCGTCACATCTCCACACCAAAGTATCCCTTTGATCACCTGTCCCGACCCTGCAGCCACCATCTTCGCCGCCACTCCACTATAATCCTCCACGTTCGGCGCCAACGTCGTCCAATACGCCGTGCACTGCTTCTCCACCATCTTCCTCCTCTTCCCCGTCAACTCCTCCGGCGCCGTCTCCTTCGCCGCCGTCAACTCCATCCCCTCCGTCTCCGCTTTCTCCTCCGTGAAACCGCTGTATTCCGCTAATATCTCGTCTAGTTTCTCTAGCAACGGTTCTTGTCCTTTGGAGGCAATGGTTAGCCCGTAGTTCAACATCTCCGAAGGATCCGACCCGGTTTCTTGAACGGGTCGGAGGGAGAAGAAGTAGTGAGACTCGTCGACTTTGACGGAGGGTTGGTCTTTGGTCAACGGCCATTGGATCTCGTCGTTGACGCGGGCGAAGACGGCGACGGTGATGTCTCCTTGGACGAGACGGAGGAGGTGGAGGTCTCCGACGGCGAGCTCGACGCTGTAGGATTTGTCGATGAGGTGGAGGATGGCGCCGTGGATCGTTAGGATCACTTCCTCCGTTGATATAGGAGGAGCTGAGGCTGTCTCCGGGAAGATGTTGTTGACGAGATCATCCACGTTGAGTGAAGGGTAGAGACAGGAGGAGGTTGGGAGGGGAGGAGGAGTGGTTGAAGTGTCGACGGTTGGGTAAAGCTTGGGGCTTGGAGAGAGTTCCATTAGAAACAGAGGAGGAAGACGAAGGGGAAATGAAGAAAGGAAGAATTGTTTGGGATTTATATGAATTTGAAAAGGATTTGGGGACAAAAGTGAAAAGTGAGAAAGTTTAAGCGAATGTACTTTTGATTAACTATTAAGTAATGTGCTGTCGGATACTGGAAGACGTGGGTGTTGCGTGTTTTAAAGAGCGCGTACTTATGTCTTAACCGGGACGGTTTAAAGCCTTTATCCGAAATTTAATTCTTTTTTTTTTTGTAACTTAAATTTACTTTTTTTATATCTACTTTATTATATCTTATATATACAGATTATCATTGACTATGATGGTTGTTTTCATTTTATCAAAATCATATACTATAAATGTTATCTTCATTCATTTTGTTTTGTTTTCTTGTTCTAATTTGTAACATAAGAGGTTAAAATAATTAATAAGTCTAATCAATTATTATGATGAAAAAGGAAAAAAAAAAGATGAAAAAAAAATTTAGTGTAGATAAGATGTAAGGAAGATAAGTGTTCTGTTTTAACAATTGTTGGTAAATGGTAACGTATAGACTAAGTAATAATTTTATGAAAAGTTATATATTATGTCACCTATTGTTTTGTCCTATGCTTTAGAGTGGTCAATTTTAAATTTCATCTCATATTCCTCAAAATATTCATTTTTGGGGAAATAACCAAATAGATCTTAAAGTAATTAAACTGCATAGATAAGGATTCATAATTATTACAGGAAAGAAAATCTAGACAGAAAAGAGAAAATCTAGACAAAGTAAGAACAAGAAAAAAATATCTGAGGGAAGTGTAATATCTGATCACTTGGCTACTTTCTTTTGACATATGTATGTGAGTTTGACTTTGACTTAAGAGCTAACACTTGTCAGCTTCAGTAAGTTTAAATATTATTATTTGACAAAATATAATCAAATGTAAAAATAATTACCATGTAGACTGGTTACTTTTGGTAATATCGCTGTCCCAGGGAGGATAAAGATATTTCAATGGCTACTTCTTCAAGCTGGTTTCAACGTGAATCAACTTAAAGCTAGATCGGATTAATCTAACTACTAAAACAAAACAAAGTAAAGATCTGCCACATTTTGTAAATGGCTGCGACTCTTGTATGTAAGATTGGCTTGACCTTAGTGTCAAAATCAATGTGCAAAGGTGAACACATAGGTTTTGAATCTATAGTCAGGTGTCCTGTACAACGTACACATAATGCAATAAACACAGCAACAACTCAGCAAAAGGAACAAAACTCAAAAGTGACATAAGCAAAAGAAAAAAAGTACAGTATCCATATCAGAAACCAAATCTAGTTAAAACTTACATAGTTATTACCACAAAAAGAAAAAAAAAGGACTACAACCCCTTTTGTATAAGAATAATATAAAACATCAAAAGGGCTAGGCAAATTCATCATTCCTATCAGCACAATATAAAAACGAAGAGTAATATCAAAACTTATACATAAGTCAAAATTCATCTTCCATAGTAATCAAGCAACAGAACATTCCCTCGCAAAATGACCTCCTTCACCACACTTGTAACACTTTCCTCCACCTCCACCACTTCCTCTCCTCTCACAATCCCTCGCCATGTGACCACTCTCACCACACTCGTAACAAGCACCAGCCTGTCTCTTCGTCACACAATCCCTCGCCATGTGACCCACTCCACCACACGTGTAACAAACTCCACCACCACCACCGCTTCCACGTTCACCACCACCGCCGCCACTTCTTTTCTGAGCACAATCTCTAGCAAAATGACCAGCTTCACCGCAAGTGTAACATCCACCACCATCGGACGCTCCACCACCGCCACCACCGCCGCTTGATTTCTGAACGCAATCTCTAGCTAAGTGACCAGACTCACCACAACTGTAACAAGACGCTCCTCCTCCTCCACGTTCACCGCCGTCATCATCACGGCAATCCTTAGCAAGATGACCAGCCTCGCCGCAATTATAACAACCACCGCCGGCACGTCTAACACCGCCGCCGCGAGAGATACTACTCTCCTTCTTCTGAAGAGGACCACCACCGGGAGCAGTTACATCAACGGCTTTGGTCTTCCCGTCGGTTCCCTCAGCGACGGAGAACTCAACGGAGTCGCCGATGGTTAGACTCCTGTAACCGTCGGAGACGATGGAGGATTGGTGAACGAAAAGCTCTTCTCCACCGTCGTTGTCGGGGGTGATGAAACCGTATCCTTTGGAGTCGTTGAACCAGTTCACTTTTCCGGTGGATCTTGCCGCCATGAGATTGAAGATTTGGAGTGATTAGGGTTTGTAGTTGAGAGTGTGTATATATAGAGAGAGGTGAGAGTTTGATTTTTGAGAAAAGCTAGTTGAAGTGGGAGTGTAATCAAACCCTAGTTTGACTATTCAGATGTGTGAGTGGAGGATACTTCGAGAGTGGGGAATTTTGGAAACTCTGCCACTTCACTTTCAACTCTCTTTCGCTGTCGGTTATTTGATGTGCACGCGTCCACCTTTGCTTTTTAATCCTGACCCTTCGTTTCGTTTTAATCATTTAGTGATTTGATAAGATTGACTAGGGGTGGACACTTTATCCGATATCCGATCTCGTACCCGAACCCGACCCGAAATATCCGAACCGAAATCCGAACCGAAGTAGGAAAATACCCGAACGGGTATTGAGTTAGGAGAGTTTGGATATCCGAACCCGAACGGGTAATACCCGAACCCGAACGGGTATCCGAAGATAACCGATTGTATATATACCTATTTATTCCTAGTTTATTTTGTCTCATTTTATTAAAACTATTTATATTAATGTTATATATAGTTTAATATCAGATAATATACATATAATTGTAAAACAAGATTGATTTGTTACTCATTTAAAATGCATGTTAAGCTTCTTATTTCATACTTTAAACAAAATTTGCATCCAAAATTCGAAAATAACAACCAAAATAATGATTTTTATTTTCAATAATTTATTTTTAAACTTATTAATTGTCTAACTTATTAAACATTTTAATAACAGTTAAGTTAATAGTTAAATTTTAAATACATGAAACTTAAGTAACAAAGAATTTAAAATTTTTCTTTCAAAATCTAAATATCCGAACCCGACCCGAAATAACCGAACCCGAACTAAAAATATCCGAACCCGACCCGATATCTAAAAATACCCGAACAGGTTCTAAACCCCAATACCGAAATACCCGAAAACCCGAAATATCCGATCCGAACCCGAACAGGTACCCGAACGAGTACCCGAACGGGTACCCGATTGAGCCTCTTTGTTGGATTATATATTGGTCTCATGGTTCAGAAGTCTCTATGGGCCTAATATTTTTAACAGCTTATGGGCCTAACATATATTTGGTTTGGTTCGGACCAAGAGTATGTAATAAATGACGAAAGTAAAGGTGTAGCCTGTAGGACTGACCTTTGAATATCAATATAGCATTTTTGGTTTTTCATATCGAAGATTAGCCAAAGAGTTCTATCTACATAGGATTCAGATTCAAAAAAGTAATGCATAGTATGTCACTTCACAATTTGCAGCATGAATTGTATATTCTTAGGTGTACTCTTTAAAAAATAAATCTACACTAGCAAACTTGCTTTCTTTAGTACTGCAATAAATCATATTTCATCAGAATCAAATTCTATATTTTGTAGTAAAACTAAAACATAAGTTGACCATTAGTCAAAAGAGTGTTCACTATGTTGCAAAATCTATTAACATAGCAAATTACTGGTAAGCTGGCTTTTCAAAATTTTATAAAATTAATTGTGAAATCTTAATCAAATGCAAAATTTTGCCTTCTCACTGCTAAGCCAATAAACAAATCGAATACATAAAAAATGTTATATTACAACTTTTTGATAGTAGTGGAGGTAGTTTTCTTTTTAAGAAACAGTCATCATCTACAAGAATATCATTTGAATAAATGTGAAAAATATATTTTCTAATGTGATCCAGAAACGAAGCTTCTTCACTCAATCATGAATTAATCATTCAAACATGAAAGCCTCTGGATCCTCTTGACTGATAAAGCTCAAGTCTACTCTTAGCTTCATACAACAAACCTTCCATGTCCTCTTCCTCCATCACATTCCCTTGCTTGGACGCCCACTCCAACACCGTCAACACTTCATCCTTAGCCAACTGCTCACTATCCGGCACATTCATCGCCACGTAGCTCAACAAAACCAACGCAGGAATCTGAGCTCCCTTCTCTCCAAAATACGCTAACTGCACAAGTAGCTTCGATCCTCCTGCGTCAATGATCGTCCTCGAATGCTCTTTCCCCAAGAAGTTATCCTCAGTCGCGAACTTCGCCAGCGCCATCGCCACCTCCGCCGCTAACTCCGGCTCCCCGTCGTCGAGGAGCTTCACCAGAGGCACGATCATACCCGTCTCCGCGGACTTGAACGTGCGAGCCAAGTTTCCTATTGACCTAACGCAGGGGATGAGTAGGTCTGATCCCGCGTCTGCGTTTTCGACGATTCGGAATAACTGATCGACTACCGCTTTGCACGCGGGGGAAGTGCGTCTAAACGCTGATCTTCTCAGATCAGCGTTTTCCTCCGCGACCGCGGTTATCTCCATGATCGCCATGGCTGTGTTGTACTTGGTCTCCTCGTCTCCGTTCTCTAGCAAAACCGCGAAACATAGCAAGGCTCGCGACTCGGTGATGACTCGACAGATCGTCGCGTTTCCAACCGCGAGCTTCCACAACGCCCTCGCCGCCATCGCTTTCATGTAGGCCTTCGTCGCCGGATCTTCCAGCTCCCTCCCTCTAGTCACCGACGCGTTTCGCGACTGATGAGCTGGGCTAAAAGACTTGCTTATTCCGCTATAGCTCTTCTCTGGAATCTTCCCCGGTGACGGCGGTGGCGGTCTATCCTCGTCGCCGAGGACGGATTTAACCGATTTCATCGCCATTGTAGTTTTAATAATGCTATGCATCTGATTCGGCAAGTGATTTGCGATACCGTTCTCACTATCCTCCTCCTCTTGCAAGGCGGGTAGATTCTCTTTACTAGCACTAGTTTTACTAACCATCACAACCGCGTGATGCATCGACGTCGCTCTACCCGCAACAACCGCGTATTTGCTATGTTCCTGAACCGTCTCAAACGCTAAATGACTCACGAGAAGGCGGATCACATTGTTTTGCGCGAACAGCTCTTGACATTTCGCATGGTTCCCACCATCAACAAGCTCCGAAACGGCCCAAGCAACAACCGCTTGTACCCTCATCGAACCTTCTTTCAAAACATTCGCTAGCACTGAACACACACCCGCTTGGATCATCTGCTCCACGCTCTCCGGGTCTCGACCCAATAGCCCGATCGTCCTCGCCGCGTTTTCTTGACCGTCGATTTTTCCTTCTTTAACTAGCTTCAACAAAGGGTTGACTCCACCTTCTTCCACTATTAACTTAACGTATCTTGGGTTGTCTTTAGCTAAGGAAGCTAGGGAAGCCGCGGCGTCGGCTCTATCATCCGGCGAACCGGTCATTAAGACAGCGATTTGCTCCCAAATTAGACACAAGATCGGTTCGTTAGCTGCTATAGGAGGGAGACCTAAGTAACCAACCCCTTCTCCGTCGTCGTTACCGGCGGGAGTCGACACACGGAGGAGCCAAGAGACGTCACCGACGGAGTTTTCTAACTGGGAGATCATTTTCCGGAATGCTGCGGCGGGGATTATGTTGAATAAACGCATTATGTAGCCGTCGTCACGGCATCTAAGGACCATGGTCAAGGCCTTCTGGAGAACGTTTTCAGTGTCGTCGATGATACGGCGCGTGGGACGTTCGTAGAGGTCGGAGCTCGCGCGTGCTGCTTGACGGAGGAGAGCAGCGAGCTTCTCGGTCTTGGACTTGATCTCGGCGCATTCTTGTTTGTTGATTGTGGCTTCGTCTCCGGCTTTAACGACTTGGTCCGCGAGTTGAATCGGTCGTGTTAGTATCTGCTTGGCTAGATCGTCCATTGGTAACAACGAAAATTAGAAACGGTGTTGATTTTTATTTGTAAAGATAATGAAGAAAGATTATAAAGCTTTTTTGTTTAGGGTGTTTGGTTGGTTTGGTTTGGTCTTTGAAACACGGTTTCGTCATTTCTATGTATTTCTTACAGAACACGTCGGTCTTCGCCGGCTTTCGTTGTCGGAGTGAATTACTTTTGTCATTTTACCAAGTCGTCGTAGGCTTTTCTGTTCTTTTAAAATATTATAAAGGGATTGAGCGTCCCATATTCTATGCATATTATTATAGACTTTATCTGAAATCATATCTGATTTTTTCTGATTAGAATAATAATCATATTCTAAGATGGCAAAGAAAACATAGGCATGCTTAATGAATACTAAGCAACTCGATTTTAATTATTGGACTGTGGTTTACCCAATTTTAGTAGTTTAATGATACAAAAGTTATATGATAAGAAATTACAAAAGTTTTGAACATTATGAAATGTTAAGTTAAAATTTATTAATATAGTTGACTAGTGTATTGGGTTTCCAGAGAGACATGACATTTATTGATAAGGCTAGGTGGGTTTTTTCTACAACTCGTGTGTGGCTACATCGAATGTTACTTCAAACCTACCATATTTATTTCTGGGACATGTTCCATATTTATATTTTGAGGTTCTAAAAAGGATAATTACAGAAAAAACTGTTTTTTTATGAGTTTTTTCCTTCACAAAAGTATTATCTATATAGTTCTAGGCTTCTATTTATTGTTTTCATAATATATATATGTACTTCACTGAACTTCATTAACTTAATATGATAAATCTTATGAAATATTGTTCTCATCACTTCTTTTGGTAGTACTACAGATATTAAAACAAAAGTGGATCTATAATTATGTCATATATAACTATTTATACACACATCCAAGCAAATAAAAGAAGAAAACAAACATTTGATGTATGTCCCCAAAGAAGAAAAAGTGAAACCAAACTTAGAATTAAAATATTTACTTAAGAATTTAGAGTGTTCTGGCTTTTGTTTCGTTCGTTTTATGTTTACTTATGTTTATCTATAAAAGTGAATAGATTGATTCAATAAAAGTACAATATTATGTCTAAAACGAAAACATCGTGGTTACAATGAACCTATGAATATAAATACACTGGAGCACGTCTTTCAGTTAAACATCGAAAAACATTTATACATAAAACTCGCTCAATCAAATTCTATCAACAGTAACAAAATAAGACGAAGAAGAGCCATGAATTTGGGGATATTTTTTCCCTGTTTGGCTTATTTGCATAGAAGAAAGAAAGAAATGACACACTAACATTTAGCTTCTAGAAGGATATTAGTATATGGATTTTAAAATACAGTATGCAATACTATCTATTAAGTCCCGACAAATTAAGATAGAATACGCAATAATTTATAGCCGTAGAAGATCTAACCACTTTATTAGCAACATGAGTTACTTGACTTACTTTCCAGTTTCCACAATCTCGCGGGGCAGTACTTTTGTCGCCTTTAGGTCCCTAATATAAACCTAAAGATTATCATTTATCAACAAAGTCATGCAAATAATTTTCAACTTAACAAAAATTAAGCATGGCTTTATGTCCTTATAGTGCTCCCAAGTTCTATCTCACCATGGGTTATATTGTCTAGGATTCAATATTATTATTCATCCTGCAGTTGAAGATATTACAGTTGACCATATCAACCAAATAATAATCGCACTAATCGATGTAGAGAAAACTATATTATATATCGCATCTACGTTTCCCAATTTTGATTTCAGATTTCAATTGATATCACACAGCGTAGAACACCGAATAGATATCCATATCATTCTAGAGATATTAAACATTATGTTGATTTTAAAATGGTAAAAGAGGGACCCAGATACCATATAATATAATGTATTTAGACTATAATTACAACAGACACATCTATACACACTCTATTCTTTCGATAAAACCTCCTTTACATTTATTGACTCTAAATCTCTCAACTCAGCACTTGAAATAACTCATCTTTGGTTCGCACTAATGGCCATGTTCTGAAATATCAAGTGCTTTGTTATTGATGTGTTCTACCAATCGTCGAGATTCCTAATTTCCATCCAAAGAACCGAGACCAATCCTAGTTCATAGAGATAAATCATACGAAAACTTAATAAGAACCTGGACGATTGATAGAAAATGAAACTGCTCCAAGCATATTCTGTAACAATTAGATTTGTTTTTTTCTTTTGGGTTACTTGTGAGACATTATGCACTGAAAACGGGTATACAATAGAATCTTAAATAAATCATAATCTAAACATTAGTTCTAATCTCTAAATCCGCCATAAAATCGTCTATAATATTTCTCATAGTTTATAGTACATAATTAGTCAGTGTTAAAAAAATTAGCTTTACAAAAGAAGGAAAGTAATTATGATATTTGTTTTTTTCCATTGATAATATTATAGGATTCACAAGGTTAAAAAAACACACACACACACGTAGATCCTACGTAACACGAAACAAACGGCGCTGATCGCCCGCGTAGAGAGCGTACGTTTAGCTCTTAGGCGTATGTTAGCACACTAATACTACTATTAATTACACCGTTAAAAACCCAAATTTTACCGCGTCCTATATTTACAAACCGTTCTTTTAATTAATTCAAACTAACTCATCCACCGAGTCAACTCACTACCAACACTGATCAGTCTCCCAGTTCCTTCCCACGTAACCGCCCATCCCTGACGTACTAACCGTCAACGGACGCCTCCGCCTTAACATCCTCCGATCGTAAACAGACCGTTTCTCAGGATCGGAGAGCGTACAGTACGCCGCGTGGATCTTCATGAACTCATCCGCCGCCGCCGAAGGAGAAGAAGAGTTACTCCGATCATTTCCCGCCGCGTCGGGATGGCAGATCCTCGCTAACCGCCGGTACGCCGATTTGATGTCTTGACTCGTCGCGCCGTGATGAACGTCGAGAATCTCGTATAGCGAGGCGGTCGCCGTCGCCGGCGGAGGCGATCGGTGAAGTCTCGGCGGAGCGTCTGTGTAGGTGTAGGAGCAAGAGGCGGAGGCGGTGAGAGGAGGTGGGAGGCGAGTGGAGCGAGAGGGAGGAGGAGATATGGGGGAGAGAGGCGGAGAAGAGGAGAGGAAGTGATGAGTGAAGGAAGTTGGAGATGAAGAAAGCATCTTTGCTGTTAAACGGTGTCGTTTTTTGGATTTTCTCTGCGTTTTGAATAGACTGAAGAAGAAGTGAAAGGGGTTTATTTATAAGGGAAGAGGCGATAGACTGAAGAAGAAGAAGTAAATGGATTTATTTATAGGGAGAAGAGCGCGATTAGTAGTTAATTGCTTGATTAATTTATACTTTCTCGTGAAACATCATACGTGTCATTTTATAATTATGCACACGGATTAAAAACAATAATTAAATGTATATATTTTCTATATAAAAACATAATTATCAATATATCTAATCACATTTTAACCAATAGAAAAATAAATTACATAATAAAATTAATAAATTTTGCATTGAAAACTGAAGACAACATTTATTTTATAACGAAAAAATTTCTCTACAACAACACTTGATATAAAACAGAGAGAGTAGTAATTACTTACTACATACTCCATCTGTTTCAATATAATCCATGTTTTAGAGAAAGTAATTTGTTTCAAAACGATACATATTTCACATTTTTAATGTATCATTTAATGTTAAATTGCAAATATCAAAACATTTATTATATTGATTAAAATTTATGGGAAATAGTACATTACAAAAATTAATACATTAATAATTTAAAATTCATAAATTTTCTTAATATGTGTGGATAATACTACTCCCTCTGTTTCATTATAAGTGTCACTCTACAGTTTTGCATACGGATTAAGTAAACAATTAATTTTACATATTTCCTATATAAAAATACAATTATCTATACACCTAACCATATTTTAACCAATAGAAAAACTAAATATATAATAAAATTAATTAATTTTGCATTGAAAACTGAAAACGAAAGTAAAAAATTCTCTATAATGACACTTAATATGAAATGGAAAGAGTAGTGAAAGGGAGGAGTAATGGTTAAAAGACGGGTCTGAGTAATTAGGGTAAATTCGGGTCGGATCCTGTGGTGCTGAGTCAGATAAAGGAGCATTATCCTGTAGGAATTATTGCAGTAGAGATAAGAATGTACGTAAGATTTTTATTCATGGTGGCCAAATTGTGTTGTCGCTGTAATTGTCAAAATTAAAAAATTAGATTAAAAATTTACTTTAAAACAAAATTAATCCAGTAGCACGAAAATATTAATCATGTTGTGGTTTATCAAGTATTCTCTAATTTAATTACGTGAAGATTTTTTTTAAGCCCTTTGTCAAAAAGAAAAAGGTTTTTTTTTTTTGATGGAAATTCAAAGTTTGATTTTTCATTATTGTGGATTGTGGTTCTTGTATGGAGAAGTAGTCTCGAGTCTCGACCATTCATTGTTTGTTGGAGACTGAGAAGACAGAAATAGATTTTTCAGAAATGTATAAAAGTCTCAACAATTGCCTACCACCATGCAAACATATTAAATATTTATTGACATTTTTTTTTCCTTGTATAAATCTAGAATACAATTCGTGGAGAAATTGTTTTCTTATCTCACAGAACTTTTATTATCAACAACAGTTTCTTTACTAGATTACGATTAAATAAATATTTTCAAATTTATTCTTTTTCGAGAGAGATTATTGGTTGTCTCAATCGAGGAAAATTCTTAATATTCGTAGAAGAAAAGTCGACTAGATTATTTTATTTCTATTGTGTTTATTCTTTTGGAGGAGGTTATTCAAAACTCAAAAGAACTGGAATCACGGATATGATTAACTTTAAAATCTTGATTGATTTTTATTTTTTTACTAATGCAATAAACTACCCTATCTGCATGGTAACTTTTGAATGAGCCAACTTTTTTCACGTGGAAATTTCAGTAAACCCATCAGTGATAAAACTATTTAGACCTAGTAAAACTATCTTCACAAGATTAAGTTGTGTTGTCAAAACCCTTACGTTGATATGTTTCTTAAACGGGACCAACTTATGAAAAGAGCTTTTACCCATTGCAATTTTTACGATTCTCCTTAGTCCATAATCCATATGCAAGTCGATCATGGACCATAATCTGGTTCAAGATGATTGTGATTGAGTGATTCTTTTAAGCAAACTATTCTAATCATATATAGTCTCTCTACTTCTTCTCCAACCACGTGGTTTGCTTATCTTTGATACCGAAAGAAACAAAAAATTGCAATAGCTTTCTATCAAATTCAAAATCCAATTGGTGTGGTTAGTGCGTGCTGGTCGTTTCAATTTGTTTTTTAGATAATCTTACCTAAATCTTGTGGATCATAGTAATTTAATCTAGATTTTTTTTAATTGTTAACGTTTTATTATCTTTTGAGACGTTTGACATATTCAAAAGCCAAGTAACATAAAGTTTTACTTTGTATAAAAATTGAATAAAACAATCGCAAGTGATGTCCAAGATTGACGCCACCAAATTCGTGGGTGACACATTCCCTTACATAAACATTTTGTGCTTTCTCGTCATCGTCCATTAATATATAAACAGCAAATACTTAATTACGTTAGTTACAAATACATACGTTCACGCGTATACGTATCCCATGAATTAACATACCTTATAATTATGTTTCTGCAACTTGTAACATTAGTATATTACCATTATAGATCTTTTAACTGCGTTACAAAGCTAAAAGCTAATCACATTAAAATAATCAATACATTAATATAAAACGAGCACAAGAGGGATAAACTGATAGAGACATGAACGTGGAAAGAAGCCAAATCCAGCAACGTTAGAGCACCCCCATTGAAGATTAATGGGGGGGAGTTCACACGGAAATCAAGAAAAAAAAAATAATAAAAATTTATGAACTCCTCTCTCCTAAAGTTCACTGCGGTGAACCCCTTTCTCATGAGGTTCAACACGTGGCGGCTCAGGATTGGTCTAGATTCTTTTTTTTGTTTTTTAAAAAAAAAAAAATCAAAAAAAAAACAGAAAATTTTTAATAATAAAAAAATGATTCAATGAACCCCAATAAGAGGTTCATTGATGTGGATGCCCTTACACATTGGTCAAGACTCAAGAGATGGATAACATTAACTATATGCGGACATCGTTGAAGTTCTAGAGTGTTACCTGAGCTTATTAGATTAAATCTCTCGTTCGTGACTACTAAATTAGTTTACTTAACTATTCACATATAATCATCAACATGCTTAATTGATATCATAACCATGAACCTGTACTCACTAGTAGTAACAATCTACAGCTACAAATGGTGCATTGTACACGTGGAATATAGTAGGCTGTGTGGTGGCGCGTGGGGAGCACAAGTTATTGATTTGCCTCGTCGGCGTGCACCACACATTGTCACCGGTTTTATATACTCAACACCAAGAAGAAGAAGAAACCAACTTATCTTTGATCTCTTCACGCACTCTCTATATCTTTTCTTAGTTCCAAGAAGAGAGTTTATTACTTTACAATGGACCAAACCAAGAAGCTGAAAACTTCTTCTGATGAATCCTCAGCTTCTTCTTCTTCTATAAGGTTTTTAGGCTTTGAAAATGTATAGTTTCAAGCTTTTTTCGTTGTTTCATTTGCCTTTTTTTTCTCTTCAGGGTTGAGAAAATGGTGGAAGTGAAGGAGGAGTCAGTTTCTTACCGGAATATTCAAAAGGCAGACCGAGAGAAAAACCGTAGAGATACGCTCAATGAACAGTTTCTTGAACTCGGAAATGCACTTGGTATATATTTATATCAAGAAGAAGAACATTACAAATTCATAAACTCTTTTTTCTTAAAGTGAGACTAATGTTTTGCATGCAGATCCCAATAGGCCTAAGAGTGACAAAACTTCAATTCTTATTGACACAATACAAACCCTGAAAGAATTAATGACTCAAGTTGATAGACTAAAAGATGAGTATGTCACACTTTCTCAAGAGTCTCGTGAGGTACTGATGATAATTGTTTTAACTTCTCAAATGCTCTTATTAGATTTCTACTTTTTTCATCATCTTTCAATATGTTTTGAACCATTGCTAAGCAGCTAGTTCAAGAGAAGAGCGAGCTAAGAGAGGAGAAAACATCTCTTAAATCCGGTATCGAGATTCTTAATGCTCAATATAGAGTCAGAACTTTGGTCCCATGGATTCCACATTACACTTACCCTGTCCCTCTACTTGCCATAACTCAATGTCCAGTCTCCACTCTTCCTCCTTTTCCACTCTATGGTACTCAAGATCCTGCACATTCACCCAAACCAGAACAAGCATCTTCTTCTAGTGCATCAAACAAACAAGATTGTAAAAACAAATCTTTAGATTTGGATCTGATGAGGAACAGTAACCAATTTGATAAAAAAGAGGGTGTTGGTTTAGAGCTTGAGCTTAAAATCCATGCCTCTTCTTCAGCTCAACAGGTGAGTGATTTCTTCAATAGTATATTGACTAACAAGCTCTTCCTGTGCTATGAACATGTATATATATTCAGGGACTGACATAAGTTGCTTCCATGCAGGATGTTTCTTGTAAGGAGAAGAAAGAGAACTCGGCAACCACTTCAAGCTCATCGAATAGTTACTCATCATCTCATCGTAAATAGCATTTTCAAATCATAAACTCTGTAATTCCCAGCCAAGTAAAACTCTGTTGACTTTGTGTAGTTATGTATTTTATAATAACAAGCAAATAAAAAAATACAAAACCATCTGCTCTAAACCATTTCCTAGTGTTCTGTTCCTAGACAAGAATGAGAGTTATACCATTTTAGAATGGAAACCATTTACTTCTCTATTTGCAACGTAACTATGCATGGCAAGTGTTATAGCAAGACACCAAGCATGTTAACATTCCCAAAACCTTATGACCATATGGGTGGTGTTTCCGTGGTATCCAATATACAAATAACATCTAGTCTCTACACCATTTTTTTGACTATTAACAATGTGTTATGAATATGAGAGGTAATCCAATTTTCATCTCACTATTAAAGTAAGTGTAAGTAATTTACATCTTTCGAGAAAGCTGGTAACCAGGAGGGGTTTTGACAGTTTTTGACTTGAGGCTTGCAGATCTCAAGAGTCTGCGAAACTCATGGATGCTGATTCTCCCATCTTTATCAGTGTCAGCCTCTTCAAGAAGTGGTTCTATTGAGCCTTTTAAACCCGTTTGCTGCAAGAAGAGAAACAAAACTAATCAAACAAGGGTGAAAAAACAGAGGGGAATATATATAAGGAGTATGAGACTGACCAAACGTAGTTCCTCTGGTGTTATAAACCCATCTCTGTCTATGTCAAACTTCTCAAATGCTGCTCTTGACCTTTGTTCCCACTTGTCAGAGTCATGCTCCTCTAGTTGATTGACGTGTAATGTAGCCACCACAAACTCAGTGAAGTCCACTAACCCATCAGTGTTGCTATCTATCTGAAAAGACAGATGGATTTTTTTAAATATTACACAAAAGCTGTGGAAGTGGCTAGTGAGCAGACTTACTGCTTGAAGAATCTCAGCTACTCTTGCATCCTTCAGCTTCCAAGGAAGATCTTTAGCAAGAGCCTGTAAAAATGATCAATGAGTTTTATGCAGTTATGCACTTTAATCGCTTACTTGTGTTGCAAGTTTTGCATTCTTTCTTACCTGTCTCATCTCCTCAAGGCTAATTGAACCGTTCTTGTCAATGTCAATAGCTTCAAACTGGTCTCTGAGATCATCCAGCTCATCCTCATCAATTGTAGTCGCTAGAGCCTTTCATAAACACACTTCAGTTAAAGTAAAAACTCATATGAAAATAAAACACAACGAGGACCGGTCATGAGATTTTGGGGCTGTAAACGATTTAGTAAGATTTAATGTTTTCTTTCTTTCTTTTTTACAAATTTAGGGATCTAAATTTATGTAATTTTTTTTTCAGAATTTTGGGAATTAGAGACTAATGTGACCTAAATTTATGTAAATTTTTTTTCATAATTTTGGAACTATAAAATAATGTTTCATTTGGCTTTTCTCAGAATCCGTCCTGAATATAATCTCTGTCTTTGTTTCTTCTTGATTACCTTCAGAGCTATCTGCTTAAGACGGCTGAACTTCACAAACTGACGCATGTTTTCAAGAACAGATATGTCTATTGGAATCTCCAAGGCCTCACCTCCTTCTCTAACCCATGGATGTGCTGCAAAACACCATTCAACCAAATCCAAAAAGATCAGTAAATAAATATAACCAAAAACAATGGCTATGAAGAATCACAATACATAGTGCTTGAGCTGCTGTTAACCGTGCTCGTGGCTCCTTTACTAACAACTTCTTCACAAAATCTTTGGCTCCCTCGCTAATGGTTGGCCACGGGTTTGTTTTGAAATCAGGTTCTTTTCTCATCACCTGTCTTTTTTTTTCATGTAAGTTTAAAAACACTTCCATGTACATTAGATTGAGATTACTACACCTCATTGAATATCCCATCTTGTGTCTTATCCCAAAAGGGTCTTCTTCCACAGAGAAGAATGTAAGTAATGACACCAATACTCCAAACATCTGATTCAGGTCCTGACCTACGTTTCAACACTTCAGGTGCAACGTAATAAGCACTTCCTACTATGTCCTGGAACTTTACTCCTGCCATGTTTTTGCACAACATTATCATCATCCTGAGAAAGAGACAAGAGTTGAAACACTTACCTGGCTTTATAAAATCTGAGAAACCAAAGTCTGTAGCCTTAAGAGACGAATCTTCTTCTGTTGACTTGAACAGAAAGTTCTGTTGGGGGGAAGATGGTAAAAAGGAACAAACTCAGATACTTTCTCCATGAATTTGCAATTTTCAGGCATTAGATCAAACCCATACCTACCTCTGGCTTCATATCACGGTGAACTAGACCTCGTAAGTGACATTCAGCTGCAACTTTCAACATTTGTCTCACCACAACCGCTGCATCTTTCTCGGTGTAACGGCTATCTTTCCTGGTAAATTTACATATACACATAAAGGCCATTCCTAGAGAGAGTCTAAACATTTATTAGTCTTACTTTGATAATATTCGGTCTAGCAACTCACCACCTTCACATAACCTGAGGAAAGACAAATCCATCAGATTCTTGTAGCACAAGAAAGAAAGAGATGATAAAAGAGAGAGAGAAACTTGAGGCTTACTCCATCACTATATACACATAGTTCTTGTCTTCAAACACATTGTGAAACCCAACCACATTCTCATGCCCACCTAAAGCTTGTAATATCTTAACCTCTCGCTTCACATCTTCCACTTCAATCGGTTGAGTCATCTACACACCAAATTACACAAACCATAATTATGAAAACAGAGCTTACTTGAGTCTCAAGCATCAAAGTATTTTAGGTTTCCAAATTAAATTATGTGAACCCTATGATGTTTTTTTACCTTGGCCTTTTCTATTCTCTTGACGGCGACACGATCATCATTGTTGTTATCGGTGGCAACGTAGGTGAAACCAAACTGGCCGTGTCCTAGCAATTTCCCAATGGTGTAACGATTATCGAAATCCTTGGCGTATCCAAAATCGATGCGCTTACCAAATGGCTTCCCTACTCCCTGCATCCATTGGATCTTGTTTTTATTACAAACTTTCTCTCTCCCTTTCCCTTGAGGTTGCGGTTTAGGTATATCTGGAGGTGGATTAGGGTTCGGGTGATTGGTTTCATGTCCGGGGGCCTTAGGTGAAGAGAAACATAGACCCATGATGGTTTTAGAGATATGGTTTCGTGTCTCTAATGGTGGATATGTTCAAAGAAATGCCAGATTGAGAAATGAGCGAGATGGAGAGACAGATTGAGACAGATTGGTACAAGTTTTCTATCTTTGTTACCTGGTAGACACTTTCTAGAAACAAAAGAACATGAAACCGTGACAGCAAATGTTGTAGATAAAGATCCATATACCTTGCGATACACGGAAACGAACCACTTAATTTGGCACTAATTATCTTCTTCCATATTCGCATTTCTGTTAAAATCATATTTTACATTTTTTTGATGCAATCATATTATCATTGACTTAATACTTTTTTTTTAAATAATAATATAACTTTTTTTTTGAGCAAAAAATAATAATATAACTTAACAATATTATATTTCTTAAAAAAAAATACTAAATATGAAATAACAGTAGAATATGGGATAAACTCAGTAATAACTCTTACATTTACCATTAAAGATTGTAAAACTATTCAACTTCCTTTTATTTTCCTTTGAAATGGGAGTGTTCCAAGACAACAATCCTACAAAGAAAAAAGCATGAAGAGTTTGAACTCTATTTTTTGTGGACAACTAGTGTGAACATATTTTAAGATTTTAAGGCAAACAATATTAAGGAACGAAGCTAAACCACTTCAAACTCCAACTCTGTGCGCCCACGGGAAAACAAAATCCAACTTCTATCACCGAAGCGTGACAGGTGACTAACTTGGCCTTGTCACTACATCACATCATACCTACAAAATCAACTCTGTTGTAGTACTATTCTCTAAGGGTTTGGATGTATTAAGTATTTTATTTATTTTTGTTCTAGACATGTAATTGTAATATGAATAATTAGTTTCCAACGCATATAGTTTCATTTTAGTTTAAGATAAAAAAAAATCCAACTATTAGTACTAAAGACACCCCGTTTAAAATCCATTACTTTGACCTGCAGCCTAAATACATTTTAAAAGATCAAAGTACTCACATACAATCAAATTATGAGATCATTTTGGTTGCATATATATATATATATATACATGTTGATGTCTTCTACTGTCTGGGCACTGACCCAACTAAGACTCATTCAACAACCAGGCAGATAATAGATAGGATCATTGCCGTTAACACGTATGTACTCGTCTATAAATTGACTCGAGTGGTGATTTGTGTTGGTTAAAAGTCAACAGTGAAAGTGGGTTGATGATGATGAATTGAGAGTGTGGCGTAACGAAGAACGTGAGGATCATGTCTACAAGTTATAATCACAACAGAGGCGCCAATTCAGGACAACTAAGTTTTGTCCATTTATTCCACCTGATTAATTATCTCACTGTCTCCTGCTCCTTTGTCCCTACACACACCATCTCTTATTTTTGTTTTATTTCTTGATAGGTTAAATTCTATAAATACGACAAAAATCACATCTTCTATTTTTGGGGCTTAGTTTTTACTTTTCTTCGCTATTTCCTTTTCACAAATAGTGTCACTTCTAACGTTTTCCATAATCACGAGAAGATACAAATTCGCTTCTATATCTCCCCTATTTAATTTTTCAGTTGAAGCCAAACTCTTAAACCTATTTTCCAATCTGTCGACATAAAGATCGTCTTTCATATCTATTTCTATTTGTCGTTGTTTCTTGAGATTTTCTAAAATCTCAGAAACAAAACAAATCTTTTAAAAGTACATTTGAACACTGAAAACAGATTTGAAGTCAAATTATATCTTATATAAAACAAACGCCTTCCGTTCAAATTTTGAACTTATACATTAAAAGAGTTCATCTTTTAGCACTGACCTGAGTTCGTACCTCGAAGCGTCCTCATGAGATTAGGGTTTGTGCTACTTGGTATCGTCGGATATCCTAGCCACTGTTGTGGCTGTTGATCATGTTGTATAATCACTAAAATTGTTTCAATTCTAGTCTTGTTCTTTAAGTTTTTATTCCACCTTTTTGGACTTAAACAACTTCTATGCGTTTCATTTTCACTGACACTAGTAGAAAAATGTTGTATAGACACGAAAATTTTCGTGAGTATCGCTAGTTTTCCGTGACTATACATCGATGTAGACACGGAAAGTCACGAAATTGTTTCGTGTGTATAGGATCGTGACTAAAATTTACCGTGACTGAACGTGTATAAAACAGTCACGTTTTCGACACTCTTTCTTTTCGTGGTTTATATTTGTCACGCTTAATGTTTGTGACTATTCCGTAACTATTTATTAAAAAAAAACAAAAAAAAAATAATTGATAAATTAAGAATTAATGAATTAAAAAGCAATACAAATATGTTTTTCGTATATATGGTGTCATATACATATTACATCATACATATATGATAACATATATACACACACATACACAAGCGTGAGCTTGAATGGAGATTTAACTTCGCCGGAACAGCTCCGCCTCAGCCTCTGGTTCGTCGCGCCTCTGCATCCGGTTCGTCAAGCCTCCGCTTCAGCCTCCAGTTCGTCACGCCGCCGCCTCCTCCGCCTCTGGTTCCTCACGCCTCCGCCTTGTCACTACATGCGGCATTGTCTCCACACCAGATCTGTGAGCCGAGATGATTGTACGATCTAGATCTGATGCCGACCATCGAAGCTCCGTGTGCGAGAACAACTCCGACGATAACTGCATCTCACACCAGTCGCAAGCGCAACAACAACACCGTATCGTAGGAGTAGATTTGGTAGACTGTGAAGGAGATTTGGGGATGGCAGAAGGAAGAGATTCGGTTTGATAATGAAAAGATTATGTGAGTGGAGTAGAATAAAGGAATTAGGTGACCAGAATTGAAGAAATCGATTTGTTTGTGTTAGGAGAAAGAGAATCGTTTGTAGATAAACACTTGTTTACAGAGGAAAATGTACATGGGAGAGAGAACGAGAGAAAAAGGAAGGAAGTAATATGAGCCATTAGATCAAATTGATCAATGGTTAAGACAGTTATCCTTGTCAAAAGGAATAGACCAATGAGAATATTTCACTAAAGTACTCTATCTTGCTTTTATCTTGGGTTTTCTAAACACTACACTAACACACATACCACTATACGTATTTTGTTATTTCTAGGTATTTGTTGGTTCATAGTTTTCAGATAATTTAGTTTATTAAATATAATGTAATGTAGAAGTTAACTTTAAAATTTAGGAATTTTAAAGGATTCACATTTAAAATGATTTAGTTCACATTTAAAAGGAGAAAAACTAAATATTGTTTTTAAGCTACAAATTTAGCTTGAGTATATATAAAAATAGATTGGTATATACATTTTTTAACTAACTAAAAATTATATCTGAATCATCTTATTATTTAAGTTTTGAGGTTTGGATAAGGTTTGTGGTAAGGTTGCAAGTAGGGTTTGAAGTAGTGTTTGTGGTCATATTTAAAGTTATGATTTGAAAAAAAAAATCTTTTAACTTTGTATAGCAAACCACATTGTATATTCAGAGTTTAGGGTTTCAAAATTGTATTTGGGGTTTAGAGATTTAAATAGTCACTGACCAAAATGTGACAAATTCGTGACTACTTAAAAAAGTGACACTTATACCTGGTCATGGTTTTTAATTATTGTGGCAAATCGTGTCTATATCTAGTCATGTTATCTTTGGTGACAAAAACATGATTATTTATGTCACGGACATGACACGATTAGTCACGTTTTTTCCTATTTTCATATTTTGTGACTAATTGTGATTTTTTCGTGACTAATCAAAAAATAGTCACGGACATAAGTGACTAAAACGTGACTATACGAGTAATTTCTACTAGTGTGATGAATATCTACAATAGCAAACAAATAATCTTTAGCACTGACCAATTGATCTACTTAATAATTCAAGTATATAAATAAACATGTTGTGTTTATTTGAATAAACAGAAGAACATATCAGCTATTTTTTATTTAATCATATGGTCATACATACCCTCAGTTCAGATGTTACAGAAGTTGTTTTGGTTACTTATCACACATTTAGATGTTCTAGGTGATGTTTTGAAAACAATATTAGCTTTTACATAAAATATATGTTCTACATATAAAAACAAACTTTTAAAAGTTCACCTGATATTTTTTTTGAAAGTCATTGATGACAAAATAGTGTAGATGCTGCCAAGGAGTCCTTTTCAATCACTTTTTAGTTTTTCTTTTTGGCTATCAAGTTATACACGATATTGGGGTTACTACCACGGAAATTCTGCAATTAATTAGACTGGAATTATCACAAAGCCAAAAGTTAAATTCTTTGACGATGACGATATAATCATCACATTTTAATGAACGAAACATAAGGGGAAAATGCTGAACAGGGCAGGAAAGAAGTACGTGGAACACAAAATATCGGATGAACTAAATGGGAACTTGCATGGATTTGATAGTACTATCAATTAAACAAACAAATTAGTCACTAACCTAGGTATTGTTTTCTTTTTCCAATTTTCACATGGGGAAAATTTAATATATTTTTGAGCTATATTCTTTTCTTTTCTCATACAATATTTCTTACATACATTAAAAATATGAGATAATATCAAAAAACTTGTTTAAAAATCCAACTGACAAAAACTACTGAACCAAGCTGGATTTTAACAAACCTACCATAAATTATAACACAACTTAAAGTGGTTTTCCGGTCGGGACTACAATTTTTGGAGGTGACCGACATATCTGATTGAAATCCAGATCACCTCCAGGTATAATTGCCATATGAACCTTGAAATAATCTGAAATGAAACTTGTTATTTATAGACTTTAACCAATATAAATATAAAATTTCGGAACTACAATCACTTTGTAATGTTGGCAACTCTAGTTGTAACAAAAGACATGTGGTATCTGAAGTAAGTACTTTGGTTCACTTACCTTTATACTTCGTACATAATCCCTTTGCAACGGAATCAATCAATTATGACAAAACGGGTATATAATATATTTACGCCATACTTTTTCTCTTTGATATATATGTACATAGTAGTTGTATTAAAATAGGAAGTTTCTATGAAGGGAAGAGAAAACTGCGCTACTTGTACTGTTTTGTAGATTATGTCTAGCTAGATAAATAAACAAAAGGGAGACAATGTAGGGCAATGTTATAGCAGGTATATAGAAGACTTTCAATTTTATTTTGTATGCATTATTTCACATTATAATTTCCCCTTATGGCTTTGTCTCTAAATATGCACTTGATTATTTCCTACATCCCACGTGATATTTACTTTCAAAATACCATTACAGAAAGAAAACATTTTTATGCTTTTTTAAATGAATTGATTGTGTTATAGGAAGTACTTGGAGGATTGGTCCTGAGTTCAATTCTCTATTGATGCATATATAATCAATCTTGGACTATTTGGTTACTCTGTGCCATCCAGAAGGGGCTTGTAGATAGTTGGACGTTTAGTGAGTGCTAAACATTTATATTTATATCAACGCGGATTGTATTGTATAGGTTGCGATTTGTGGTTTGCATTAATATGATTGATCACCAAGGAAAACTCTTCATGTGTTTCTGCATGAATTTGTCGACATTACATATAACCTAGTCACAAATATTCTAAAAAGTCAAAGGTAACCTTAGAAAATCTTTCTGAAAACAAAAACCTAGAAAATCTAAAAAGAAAACACACACACACATATATATAACTATCTTCATATTAGCCATCTACCTTGAACAGTATTCTCTGGGCCTAATAGCGTTTTAATAGTAAGTAAAAGTGCTCTTTAGTCCTCCAGTAATCTTAGAGAGTAGGGCTGGGCATTTTATTCGTTAAATTTGATTCGATTCGTTATTTGTCTCGATTCGATCCGAAAATTCCGGATATCCGTAAACTTTCGAATTGAAGCAAATACTAAAAATCAATATTCGTAAAAATCGAAGCAAATCACAAATATTAAAATTTTGGGAAGCGGATATCCGATCCGATCCGAAAATATATAAATATATGTATATTTTGATTATATTTAAAATTTTAAATGTATAGAACTATTATTATAGCTTATGATTTGACTAATTACATTCACATTATTACTTATATAAAATTATTAGATAAAAAGAAGAGAAAAATTATGAAAATTATAAAAAAAATCTTAAGTTTGGTGTTATTATAGTTGTTAACTTAAACATAAAAAAATTATAAAATATGTAAATTCACTACTTCTTTATTTTTTATTTTATATATCATGTAAAAAAATTTTACAAAATAAATTTATATAAGATTATTTGTAACGGATGAGATATTCGTAAGTATTCGTAAATATCCGCAAATATCTGTTTATTTTCCGGATATCCGTTTTTCCGGATATCCGTATTTTTCCGAAGCAAAGCAAATACCAAAATCAGATATCCGTAACATACGAAGCANAAGATTATTTGTAACGGATGAGATATTCGTAAGTATTCGTAAATATCCGCAAATATCTGTTTATTTTCCGGATATCCGTTTTTCCGGATATCCGTATTTTTCCGAAGCAAAGCAAATACCAAAATCAGATATCCGTAACATACGAAGCAAATCACAAATACCTTCGAAAACCCGGATATTCGATCCGTGCCCACCCCTATTAGAGAGCATGTACAGCATGCTAAGAGCAAGATTATTGGGAGGTCCTTACTCTTAGTCCTTAAAAAACATATATATGTATGTATATATTATATATGCGTATATAATTGCAAGGTAAGGACTTTACGGAAACCGAAACCAAAAGTCTCTTAAATAAGAAATTTTTGGTTTCGGTTTCCGTAAAGTCCTTAACCTACAATTATATACGCATATATAATATATACATACACATATATGTTTTTTAAGGACCAAGAGCAAGAACTTCCCAATAATGTTGCTCTAAGAGCATTTCCATTAGTGAACCCCTCTTGGGGTTCATATTTTTAATTTTTTATTATTTTTTTTTACTGTTTGCTTTTTAGAAAAAAAAAAAAATTAATCGAACCAATGGATGGCCGACACGTGTCGTGAACAGTGTTGAACCCGTTGGACAGAGGTTCACCGGAAAGAGCTCGGAAGAGATGGGTTCAATACTATTCATTATTTTAATATTTTTTTTTTCTAGAAATCTGTGTGAACCCCATGGAGGGTTCACTAATGGGGATGCCCTTAGGATGGTGGATTTCATGGATTTATAGAGCAACAACATTTTATTTTTTTCACGTATAGTGCAATACAATGGTTTTGAGTTTTGCCTAATTACCAATAAAATAGTGGATAAAGAGTGCAATTTCACTATATAATATTCATATTAATTTAGAGCATCTTAACTCAAGAAGGTATCTCATTTAAATAAATAAATAAAATAGTAAAAAAAAGGAATAAGAGAAGTGAAAAGAGAGTAGAGCTCTCGTTTTAGAACCGTTGAAAACCTAGTGAAAACTTCAAGTAACCGTTGAAAACCTAGTTTAGGTTTTTTAAAGAATCAAAATGTAATTATATATTTTAATTATTATTATTTTTTCTTTACAGATTTCCTACGGTTTATACACGATAAAGTTGCTCTTAATAAACTCTTCTAATTTCTCTCTCTCATTGTGCCCTTATATATCCTCCATTTCCCCCTACCATCTTCACATCCACACCTTTCTTCAAACATCCAAACTCTCTCTCATTTCTCGCTTCTTTCTCCTTTCTCTCTCTCTCTAGCCAATTTAGATTTCACTAAGCTCAACTCATGGCGATAAAGAAGTCGAACAAAGTGGCAGCGTCTCAAGTAGGATCTCTAAAGAAAATCTTGAAGAGATGCTCAAGTCTTGGAAAGAAGAATCAAGGTAATTGCTACTTCAAAGACGTGCCAAAAGGCCACTTCCCTATCTACGTTGGTCAACATCGGAGTCGCTACGTGGTGCCAATCTCATGTCTAGATCATCCTGAGTTTCAGTCACTCCTCCAACAAGCCGAGGAAGAGTTTGGGTTCGAGCATGAAATGGGCCTCACTATCCCTTGTGATGAAGTTGTCTTTCAATCACTCATCTCCATGTTCACATAGAACTCGATCTAGAGAGAGAATGATTTAGTCAATTGGTAATCTCTCAAGATTAGATATGATCTCATTTAAGGTTTCTATGAGACGTTTGATCACATGCCATGCACCTTCTAGACTTGAAACTTAAAAGTTATTATAAGAAAATCTCAGAAAAAAATTATAGGGAATATATAAGTATATTATTTAGGTTTTATCTTTGCTAAGAAGACGGAAGCAAAGAGAAGGCTGCGGCATCGCGTCAAACATCGACTCAAGATTTGTACTATAGTCTATAGTGAACTTTTTCATCTTTTTTTTTGGGGTTTTTGCCAAAACTAACCCACAACTTGGTTTTAACCCCAATACTAGACCCCAACTTGAATCAAATGCAAATCTAACCTAAAAGGGCTATGAAATTACAATATAGTCCTCTGTGACCAAACAAAAAAACAGAAGACATTTTTACGAATATAACCCTAGTAAGTTGTCTGAGTTGGGCTGAGTTACTTTTC